AAAAGAAAAGTTGGATCTAGCTTATTGTTTCTGGTATGGCAAAATCACTCATAAGGTCTCTTCCAGCAGTGGATTTCTAAGATTATAGAACTGTTGGATAGCTCACTGAGTAAGGTATTTGGCGGAGGAACCAGCGGTTGGGAGTTCATTTCCTCACTGTGCCTCCTTGACAGGGCTGGATTCAATGATCCATAGTTTGGCTTCCTGCTCTGCAGTTCTGATGATAATTATAGTGTATTAGGAATAAATGGTCATATCACATGTCTGTTCCTACATTACTTTTTATACCATTTTCTCTACATGAATAAGAATGTTCCTGTTGTCAAAAGAAGGCTTCTGGGAACTGTAGTCCAAGAACAGCTGGGTTACTCAAGGTTGGAAACCAATGAGGTAGATGATGATGATGATGATGATGATGATGATGATGATGATGATGATGATGATGATGATGATGATGATGATGATGAAAAAATTCCAGCCCACTTATGGAAAACTGATCCATAGGTGGGTTGGAATCACAGCCAGATTAATCAATGAATTAAGGGGCAACCAGCCTACTATTCCAGAGGGCACTCTATAGTTATTAAGATATGAGACAAAATGAGCAGGCATTGTTCCTTTCAATTGTTTAATGAAAAGTGATCCAGTTGTCACCTTTCATGTACTGTATTTATTTATTTCTAAAATGTATAGGGACATGGTGGCGCTGTGGGCTAAACCGCAGAAGCCTGTGCTGCAGGGTCAGAAGACCAGCAGTCATAAGATCGAATCCACGGGACAGAGTGAGCTCCCGTCGCTTGGCCCAGCTCCTGCCAACCTAGCGGTTCGAAAGCATGCAAATGCAAGTAGATAAATAGGTACCACCTTGGTGGGAAGGTAACAGCATTCCGTGTCTAAGTCACACTGGCCATGTGACCACGGAAGATTGTCTTCGGACAAAACGCTGGCTCTATGGCTTGGAAACGGGGATGAGCACCGCCCCCTAGAGTCAAACACGACTGGACAAAAATTGTCAAGGGGAACCTTTACCTTTACCTTTTAAAATATATTGATCACTCTAGGTGACAGTTCTTGTGATGACCTACAACAAAACCAAAATGAAATCCCAACTTTTTCTTAAAAAACACAAAACACCAGAATCCCGTGGCAAAATATGGGAAGGAGAATCACACAAGTGGTTTCCTTAATCTTCTGGACTTCTCACACACCCTGAACTATGTGCAGTTCAGACAACTAAAACACAACACAACAGTTATGTAATTTTGGATTTACTGTGCAGAACTGCTGCTGGATTCTGTCCAATAACAGAACAAGCAATGTATTATTGTTTCTCTCCTATCAGAGACTGCACTTCATCATAGCTATTCTGACTTTGGATGTAGTAGCTTGTAATAAGCAATTATGCTGTGCGGCACTCAAAGCACTCCCAAAGGTTGTTTAGGCAATACATTCTTTTCCTTTCCATGGTTCTATTGTGGCTTTCTGAATTTTTTTAATCCTAATTTTTTATTCATTTTCAATAGGAGTAGGGGTTGGGGTGCAGATACAGGGGAATAAGTAAGGGATAAGTAAGGGTGGGGAAAGAGTAATATTCCAGAGAGTGAAAGAGTGTTCTTACATGCACTCACTAAGTTATGCTAAAGAAGGAAATCAGTAAATAAACAATATAACAATTATTCCAGAATATCTATCATTACTACTCTCTCCATTCCTTTGGATCTTCTCATACTTCTTTTATCTATACTTTCTAATCCATATTTTGGATCCAGTTATAAAACTGTTCCCATTTTTAAAGTCCTTTTGAGATGATCTTTCATTTAATGCTTCTGTTAGTAAATCCATCTCCACCACTTCCAGTATCTTTTCTATCAGTTCCTCAAGATCTCTTCTTTTTTCAGATATTTTCCATATAATATCCTCATTGCTGTAATTACATGTATGATCAAATATCCCATTTCTTTATCAACAATTTCAGTCATAATATTCAATAGAAACAATTCAGGTTTAAATGGTATCACATAAGATAAGTTTTTTTTGTAACATTTCATGTACAGTATTAATCTCCAATAATATTTTGCTTCCCTGCATGTCCACCAGATATGGTAAAAAGTGGCTTTCTGCATTTTATGTGTTTTATGATTTCTTAGTCTTTATTCCTTTGTTTACTACCTCTCTCTTGACTATCCTCTTGATTCAACAAATTCTTAACATCCTGTGGCAAATCCACATTTTAAGTGGACCTGTCTTATAACAACAACAACATGCTATCAGTTTGATTCCCAGATATAAAATACTGGAGATAGTTTAATAGTTGTTGAATTGTAAGCCGCCTAGAGTGGTCGAATAAGACCAGATAGGCGGGATAGAAATCAAATAAATAAATAAATAAATAAATAAATAAATAATAGTTCTTACTTCTGGTGGTGCTCTGAGATTGTGCAGTGTGCCAGGGTGTACACTCAATAGCTCTTCTTCCCAAGACACAGTAGGAAATTGAATGCCTGGTGCTCCAACTCACTGAGCTACCCAGCCAACTGGCTTTGATAGTCATGTGTTTTAAAATCAACCATTCTATGTCCTATAATTGAACCAAGAATCCATAGCACCATACAATCCACATTCTTAAAGCCTGTTGTAAGATGTTTGCTGCATGTTAAATTCTTAATTAAAAATATTCCAGGCCATCTGTATTCAGAGTTCTATTGCTTGATCCTACTGATTTGTCAACATACATTCCATAGCTTTCATTTTGGACCTTAAACTTCATTTAATGAACCACTTGCTTTTTACTGATTACTGCACTATTAATTCAGTCTTCCTAAATTTGAATTTTTAGATCATACATATTACTTGTATGGCTGGCTGAGAGAAAGGAGGGGGCAGCTTTTGACTACAAAGAAGTAGAACTACTACCTGTGATTTATCTTTTGGGCTAAGACTCAAGGCTTGTTCCTTGGTATTGTGTTAACTGGGAAATGACTTCAGCTGTGGTGAAGGAAAGGGGGCAGAAACTGCTTTTGTCTTCGTGAACCTTTGAGGGAACCTGAGGCCTGATTGGTGGACCACCTCAAAAGGTCCAAAAGGTGATGAATAAGATATAAAAAGAAATTCAGAAGTTACCTTCTTTGGCTTAGTTATCTCTGAGCAGATCCTATGCTCAGTTGCTGCCCTGTTCTGCCATGCTGTGAGGGATACACTCTGTGCATGCTCTGAGGCTATGCTAAAGCTACACTAGTGTGTAATAAGTACTAAGTAACTTAATTAACTCTCTTGTTTTCTTGTGTATTTGCTCTGTATTGCTTCTGCTGTAGATTCTTACTGTTAGTTCCAAAATGCTTTTTATAGTTTTTGAAATTTTTGCCTTTTTGCCTTTTCACTATTCTTAATAAAATAGAAAAATTGCTCTATTCCATTGTCTGCAGTCTTTGTTAATAGGGTTTGTACGTAACACCAGCTGTTACCTTGATCAGTCTATAGGGAGCCTTTATGTTTTGTGGGTGGTAATTCTACCTTTCAGGGTTGCTGTGAAAATCAAAGCACTTAACCTTGTAGGGTTTATTTTTCTTTTTTGAACTCCCTGAAAGTACTACTTAGGTCAGGCTAGAGCACTGGAAGGTATAAGGTCCAAGCAGATTCCCTAGCCACCAGGGTAGTGTGGCTGAGTGGTTCCATTACATAAAATATCATCAAAATAATAATACTGTAATGTTTCCTGTTGACTCCAATAAGAAGCAAGAGGTTTTGCTTCAACCCGATGTTTGCTGATACAGTACTTAATTTTTCCACTTCAGGTTGTTACAACTGGAGACCTCAACCTAGATTATGAAACCATGCCCCCTCGATTTGAATTGCAGATCCTCGTTTATGACACAGCTGGAGCAAAAGACCTACAAATCCTCACTGTTCAACTGCTTGATGAAAATGAACCTCCAGTGTTTCAAGGCAATATAGCAACTCAAAGTAAGATGTTGGTAGAGGCCCTGTTTTGTGTCTGAATGCCTTGCAAGATAAGTTTGGTGATGTTGTGAGACAGGGCTTTCTCTGTAGCAGCACTTTGACTGTGGAATTCACTCCCCAGGGAAACTGGCCTATCTCCGTCTTTGATGCACTTCTGACATAAAGCCGTTTACCTTTTGTTCTTTAAAACTGGTGTCAGTGTTGACTTTGAAATGCTTTTTAAAACATGTTTTTAAAGAATGTGTTCATCTGTTTTATCATACTGAACCATGGCAGCTGTGGTGGGTAGAAATGTGATTTATAAATACTTGCAATACATCAGTTGAGTGAATTAAATTTGGAGAAATTCTGCACATGTGTCTAAAATATGAGAGTTTGAAGAATAAAAAAAAATTACCTGTTGACTGCAAATATATAATTTAACTGTAAAAGCAGCTTCAGTTTTCCTAATTGCATGTTGCTTTTTGAAATAGCTAGTGGGTTGGTTTTTTTTTGAAAGTAAGATCCCAGCTGCATGATTATCTCATCAGACACCCTCACACAGAGAGATGTTTGAACTGGTTGCATTAGAAGGAACATAGGATGCAAGAAAAGCTTAAGACATGAGAACGGGTGCACATGGATGCAAAAAAAAAAAAGTTTTTTGCCTGAACATTTAGAAGTTCCAATCAAAAATAAGAAGTTGTTTTATTATGGTTTAACAATGTTCAGGAACCTTTAAAACTGAGTGCATGTTGCCCTTAAACTGTACAATTTGTATTATAATTATAATATATAATTTTTATTGTAAGGCACCTTTGACATTACTGGGCAGTTAAAATTTTAACAGTCATACATGTAAGATGTGCCATAGTTCCTCATTTTTCCAATTGCATATCTAGAAGTGGCTAACTGCACCTTTTCCCTCCCCCCTCCTCCAACTGCCCATTTTGTGCTCAAATGCACTCTTAAAAACACAAGACAAACCTGGAAATGGCAGAATGACATGAAGCGTACAGTATATGGCATATCTGGAATAAAAAAGAAGCAGACTGAAGTAGTCTGATGAGGAAATATCAAATAGCATCAACATGAATGAAATGATCTAGGACTCTAAGTTAAAATTTAAGTATGTGTCCAAGTAGATTAAATTTGTGGGCTTCAACTGGAAACATCACAATGCCTTAGTTATTCAAACTCCAAATGTGGCACTGCAGGTTAAACCGCAGAAGCCTCTGTGCTGCAAGGTCAGAAGATCTGCAGTCGTAAGATTGAATCCACGCGACGGAGTGAGCCCCCATCGCTTGTCCCAGCTCCTGTCAACCTAGCGGTTTGAAAGCATGCAAAATGCAAAAGGCGAGTAGATAAATAGGTGCCACCATGGTGGAAAGGTAACGGCGTTCCGTGTCTAGTCACACTGGCCATGTGACCATGGAAGATTGTCTTCGGACAAACAGTAGCTCTATGGGTTGGAAACAGAGATGAGCACTGCCCCCTAGAGTTGGACACAACTGGACAAATTGTCAAGACCTTTACCTTTACCTAGAGTTCAATTGAATATCAGGAAAAACCTCCTAACTGTTCCATACTGTTAGAGCAGTATGACAGTGGAACCAGTTACCTTGGGAGGTAGTGAGTGCTTCAACACTGGAAGCATTAAAAAGAAACTTAGACAACAACCTGGGATATATCCTTTGATTTGTATTCCTGCATTGAGCAGGGGGTTGGACTTGATGGCCTTATAGGCCCCTTCCAACTTCACAATTCTATGATTCAATGATTCCATGATTCTATGACAGTCAACTTCTGTACTTTGAAGAGAAGAGGCCACCATTTTGTCTTTTGGCTCAGCCAGCAAAATATCTTGGGCCTGCCATGGCTACAGAAATTATACTATTACATTTCAGGAGTTAAGAGAAGTAATTTCACTAATGCCTAAAAAAGGCTAGAATAGGATACAGCAGTACTTATGTATGCATAATTACCTAATGAAAATTCCTTCCTTCCTTCTTTCCTTCCTTCCCTTCTATATGTAACCTTTGTCCTCAAAGGAGACGCAAGGCACCTCACAGTTAATTAAAATAACATAGTAAACACTGTTATGAACACTGTAAGATATGATATTAAAAAATTAAACAAATAATAATAATATTAAACTCCACCATTTAAAAACAGTTAAACTACAATGGAACCTAATTCCAAATAAACATGCATAAAAACATGCAAACAATCCTTTTGGTCCAGGGGAGAATTGGCAGGGGAGATACTGCATCCTTGTCATCGTCCTCTGTTTTAGGCAATATTTGTGCATAACTGAACTTCTTTCTTAAATTAAAACTGCATTCATTAAATTCTCTAATATATTCAATTGTTCTAATATATTTATTCACCTCTGCTCTCCTGATGTGTTTACTCATGTCCCTAAATTAATGTTACGTGACACCTTTTATCTATGCAGCTGTTGAGGTCTACATTTTGGAAAGCACACCAAGTAGACTTATTTATGAGGTTAATGTAAATGACCCTGAAATAGCAACATCTACAGAAATCATGGTAAGTTTAATTCCACAAATTCTTTAACAGATACAATAAATACGTTAGTAGATAGGGATAGGAAACATGTGGCCCTCCAGCTGTTGGACTTGAATGTTCATCAGCCAGTAGTGAAAAATGGCTATTGCAGTAAAACGGTTGAAGGACTATAGCTCCCCATCTCTGAGGTGCAAAATCAATCTTCTCTTTGGAAAATTTACTTTTTAAAACTACAACTCCCAGAGTAACTCTGCTGGAATCCCTAACATAACTTGCTGACTGAGAGGTTCTGCAAGTTGAATGAAATTAATGTAAAATTTCCATTAAAGTAATGCTAAACATACATACATACATACATACATACATACATACATACATACATACATACATACATACATACATACATACATACATACATACATACATACATACATACATACATACATGAGAAAGACAGAGAGCATTTTTTAATAAATGTTATTTTCCCAACATAAAACTTACAAATATGTAAGAAACAGCATCTTTTATAGCTTTCATAGTAAATTGCTTTTTCTTGCCCTTTTAGTCTCTTTGTTAGTCAGTCCATTTCTGCACACTCTAATATTTTTTTAATAATCAATTAATCTTTTGGCGGGTCACCCTCTTTCCAGACCTGTGCCCATGCTAATCTAGCTGCTGTCAGGACATGTGACATTATATAATAACTTTGCTTGTTTATATTATTTGGTATTAATCCCCATAAGAAAATTTCTGGTTTAAATTGTACTTCTTGCTTAGTCATTTGCTTAGTCCACGTATGAATTTTGATCCAATATTTCTTTGCAATATCACATGTCCACCATGTGTGGTAATAAGTTCCTTCTTGGTTTTTGCAATACCAGCACGTAGTCGAGATGTTGGCAGAAATTTTTGCAAGTCTGGATGGAGGGAGATGCCATCTATAAAACATTTTGTAGAGATTTTGCTAATGTTAACTTAAGATTTTTGGTCCAAAGGCAGAGAGCATTTTTGCAGAGTGCTGCTTGACCTGATTAAAGTTTTATGTGAATCTAAGCCTGGAAATATTATTTAAATGGAAATATTCCTTTAATTTTACTTTGGTTTGTAGAACCTCCCATTCAACATGTGATATTAAGGGATTCCAGCTGGGTGAATCTAGGAGTTATAGTTTCAAAAAGTAAAATTTCCAAGCCCTGATCTAACCCAGCAATCAGATTCCAGCAGTGCCCGAGACAAATGATGTAAGGAAGTCCCACAAACGCAGCATGATGGCCACAGGCCTCTCTTATTGTTTCCTCTCACCTTTGAATAGAGTGTTGCTTTTAGTTCCCCTGCCCAGTAATGTGAGACAAGGAATCCTTGTGCAGCAGAATACTGGCAGGGATACTGAGGAGGCTATCCAGGCTGGTAACTGGAAGGTTCATACTTATGGGTAACAAGGTAACCATCCTAATAGATGCTGTGGGTGGGGACGACAGTGGCAGACCTCTGTTTCTGCACAACTTCCCTCTGATGGGGAACATTAGAATTTGCACTACAGAGCCTACCATGCCCCCACTCCCCCGAACTAGCCTGGTTGCAGTGGAGGATGCTGTCCTGCTGCTGGTGCTGAAGTAGGATTCAGCTACAATTCAACCTAGGTTCTGCAGATGGAATGGGAGACAGAGGTGCACCATCTTTGCCTAGTGACAAAAATGTTCTGGGCTGGACTTGGCTAATACCTGTTCAATGGGCTACTGAGGTTCAAATCACCTATTAACAGCCACACATATAACAGCATCAAAACAAGAGCGAGCTAATTTGCAAAATGCAGAGTGAAGCTCTGGATGGTCAGATGTCATTTATGGCTTTAAAGAAGTCTGCTTGCAATGATGTGCTAATTGTAATGAGAGTTGAAACCAAGCTTGAAAAAGTTACTTTCAAAAACTTTTCTCTACTGGACATGTTAAATGGAGGATTCTGGGAATTGTAGTCAAAACAACAAATTCCCAACCTCTGGACAAAACATTGATAGCAATACTGTAGCTGTTCTTATTTTTCTTATTGATACCATGTACTAAACGGTGCTAATATACTCTGCCATGTCGTGTATTCCAGTATTCATTGACTCCCGAATCACTGCCATTCAATATTTCTACCACTGGAACCATTTACTCTTTGAAGGAATTTGATTATGAGAAAGATCCACACAGGTAAGGAGTAAGTGTATATTTGTAGCACACACCACATACCAGAAAATACACATATGATGTTTTAAAAGTATTTATTGTTAACTGAGATACACTATACATAAATCACAAAGTGAATCTTGCATCGTGTTTTGGTTTCACAGCTATATATTAAACATCACAGCAAGGGACTCCCTTGGCCTGAGTACCAGTAGGATTGTGATAGTCAGTATCATAAACACCAATGATGAACGACCTTACTTTACCATGTAAGTGATGACTTCCAGGTACATCAAAACATCTAGACTTTCTAACTGAGCACCGAGGGATTCATGAGTTTTGGAAGACTAAGAGAGAGATTAATTGGCAGACTCTAGAATACAGAATAACTGATTTCAGAGGTCTCCTTTTCAAGATTTGGCAAGGAGTGGGAGAGCAGTCATTTGTACTACCAAACTGAACTCACTGGAGATGAGAGAGAGAGAGAGAGAAGAAAATTATTGTAAAGCTGCTATGATGTGCTTATTTTTAGAGACTTACGGCACATTATCTACAGGAAGTGAGCTAATGTAGGCCAGTTTGAAATGACCTAATGTAGGTCTCTCCCATTCACCCTGAAATCATCCCTGCCAATATTGTGAAGTGGCTTAATAAGTGAGCCACTTCGGGACATTGGCAAATTAATCACTTTCTCTGCTCCTCAGCTAGAGGGATATGGGAAATGATTGCTTTATTTTTTTTATTTTTGCTGCTTATTAAGCCACTTCAAGATACTTGAAACATCCAGGTGGGATCAGGCACATCACAAATTACTTTACCATGTGGCTATTATACACACTGGGTAAACTTTTGGCCCATTATTTTCTCTCAGTCTAGCTCATCTCATAGGGTTGCCATGAAAGTAAAATGGGAGAGAAGAATGATGTGTACTATTGAGCGGAACTCACTGGAGGGGAAACAAGATATAAATGCAATGAACGAAACCAATTTTAAAAAACAAAACTGTTTGTGCACTGGTGATTTACATAGAATTACTAAAAAAATAGAGTTGGAAGGGGGTTATAAAGCCATCAAGTCCAATGCCCTCCTCAACGTAGGAAGCTAATTTAAATAATATTTTAACTTGGCTTACATTTGTAAACATCCTAGCTAGATTGTAAAACTCAATGACTAAAAGACAATACGTCAAAGACAAAAGAGAACAAATAAATAAATAAATAACAGCAGGTGTCAAAGCAGGCCCAGTACTAGAAAAACTGTAATCACATATCTAGACATTCACATTCTTTTAACGTATCACTTCAACAATGTAACATGTTCAGTCACAAGCAACATAACAACCCGCTTTTCTTGACTGGAGCAACAATGGCAACCTGGCTGCTGATTTATAAAGACTAAAACTACTAATAATAAAAACACAACAAGTTTCTTTTCGAATGTAGTTACGAAGGATGTGATACTAACCTTAGATGGAAGTGTTGTTTAGAATAATGTGTGAAAGAGCTGGTAAAACATATACGTTTCTGACTTGATTTTCTCCCATAGGGAAAAAAGAGTTTTCAGCATTCCAGAAGAAAGTACACCAGGATATGTTGTTGTTGCCAATATAACCGTTGAGGATCCAGATGGTGAAGGCTTTATTCATAGCCGTCGCTTCAGCATTAATAACCCTAAAGCCTTCCCAAATTTTGCCATTGATCCAGGTAAGGAATACATTTCATTGAATTAATTTCATATGTATTTACTGTACTGTACTGTCAATTTTGCTTTTATTTTAATTTTTAGTTATGTTACTGTTTTTACAATTGTTATTATTGCCATTTTCAGTCCTGTGAAACACCCAGAGTGGCCTATCATCAGATGGGTGGTATAGAAACCAAATAAATAAATAAAATATGAAGGGCATTTAATGGCAAAGCACATAGCAGGATAGGGAAAAAAAGTCTTATGAGAAAAGGTTGAAGGGACCTTCTGCATTTAAGACTGGGGAGGTCATAGTGCTTTTTGTATAGCTGAAGGTTTATCGTGTAGAGGAGGGCAGTGTCTTGCTTTCTGGACCCTCAGGGGACAGAACTAGATTTAATAGACCAAGTTACAGGAGGATCAATTTGGGCTGAACATTCAGAGAAGCCTCCCATCTCCCACTGAAATCAGTGAAACTTCTGTCAGCATAATTAAATCTAGATCTAACCCAGAGAGATAAATGTAGTTACACAGGCAGTTGGATTTCAGGTTCATCTCTCGCTGGAAATCCGGTGGGGGGACTGGGTCTGCTGCCCTTCTGGGAGTAACTATGCTGTTTGCCATATATGCTCTGTTTGTGTATTTATAAATTAATAAAGGCGCAAATCCTGTTGAATAAGGTATACCAGCATAAAGGAGATGACATCACTGGTGGTTGCCACTAATTAAAGGGTCGCTGCTTCAATAGCAGTGCTTCCATGACTTGGAGACAATCAGTCTCATTGTTGTACCAACCCCAGGATTTAAGCAGGAATTATTTAATTAGTGGTGATCTGCCTCTGCCAGTGAAGTTATCTCCCTTACACAAATATAATTTATGCAAGAGAGTTTTGTTATGACAAAATATTATGAAAACTTCATAAGTCTCCAGTAATTTCTACCAACAAAGAAAGCCAAACCCATATGGTCTCTCTATGGAACTTTCCAAGGCCCAGGGAAACAGAGGGCATCAAACACTCTGCTAATTTATTGGAAGAGTACAGTAGGTGTACTCCTTACTCAAATTTTCCTTACTTTCAGAATACTCACCAAAGCAGAACTTTATAAAGAGGCCTTTTGAAACATCTTGCCTCTAAGATAGGTTTCTATTATTTTTTTTCCTTTGGAACTTATGTTATGTCACCATTTGAATTGATTTTATTGATTTTACTTGATTTTTAAAATTCTGGTTATTTGGTTGTAATTTGTCACTTCTTTCATTCTTTGTATATTGTTATTTTATGCTATATTGTTGGGGGGCATATTATTGCTATGGGTTGATTTTCCTTGTATGGTGCCCAGAGTAATGAGATTCACTAAATTGGCTGGAATGAACGAATAAAAAACCAACCAAAGAAACAAAATGTAGGACATCAATCATTCTAATTGACTATTTCAAAAAAATTCAGAAAAATCAAGTTATGATCACAGAAATGTTTGTACTTGTAAATGGAAATACTTACAATGTATTTATTTCTTAGTATACGGTACAGTTTTAGTGGCAAAACGGATAGATTGTGATGCTTCTCCCTTCAAAGAAGAACGCAACATTTCTTTGATTCTTCGTGTTGTGGATAGCCCTAGTGGCACACAAAGTGATACAACAGAAATAATTATAACTATTGAAGATGTGAATGACAACCCACCAGAATGTAATCTATATAATTACAGGTATCAATATTTTGCACTGCATCGGAATCCTCAAACTTTGAGAAGTTATAAATGACCCCTTGATCCTTCTTAGCATAGAGTTTGGTGCATTAGGTTGTTCAGCTGTAATGAATAAATACTAAAGCTTTTAAAATGGCTAGAAACAGGAATCAGTGGCTCATTGTTACATTAGTACCAGCTAATTATCAGCTAATAAAATTAGGAGGCATTCTATTAAGGTCACATTTAAGTATTACTGGCAGTTTTAAATGTAAGTGGCAAAATCAAATTCTAGACCAAAGTAAATGACATGTTTAGTGTGTGTTTAGGACAAGTGGTCCTTCAAGTGGTGAATAGCATGTGATCTTTAGTGAGATAGTTTTAAAGAGCAGAATTCTATGCTAACTCACTTTTCAGGATTGTCAGAGTGTCACTTTCAGTAAATTGCATCCCCTTCAGTTTCCATGCTCCCCAAGTGTCCTGTCTCTTGGCTCCCCTGTCTCTCCGATGGTACCCCTACTCTGCTTCTCATTCCATATGTCTGTCTCTCTTTAATGCCAACAATTCATCTCTTACCTCAGAGTGACTAGCAAAGATGGCTAAGGGCCAGCAGAACAGACATTAGGCCAGCTGCAACTGCTCAATCCAAACCCTTCCTGGCCTTGGCATGTTGGACATTGTTTAGGACGACTGTTGCCCTGGTGTAATTTTATTCCATCTGGTGCCCCTGGGCCAGATGGAGTTTGGGCTTAGCACTGCTTAGCTTCTATCTCATTCTCTCTCATCTCTGTCTCTTTTTTGGCTCTTCTGCTTGCAGATTTTATTCAGAGCAGTTCTGTTGGTAGATCCCTTTACTGGTATATCTCCGAGATCAGACAACAGAAGCGCTCTGCTGCCTACATAAAGGGATTTCTACTGGTGGAAGAAGTTTCTGCTTACTCCTAAGCCCCTGCAGTCAACACCTCTTTCAGCTGGGACTGCACCGTCAGGTCCCCAGTTTTAGATTTCTAATAAACAGGGCAGGTGACTTCAAAGCAATAGCCTTCCTATGACTTTCCAGAGCTAAATTAACTATCAAGTAGACCAACACTTTCGATGATGAGCTCACATATTTTCTGCTTGCTTCTTGTCTGTTAAAAGCTGCTTTTTCTTTTACAGATAAGCTCCACAGATCCTCTGCCCATCATTCTGTTTACTCTATAGATACTCTAAATGGGCAGAATTAGAAATGTAACAAATACCACAGCTGGATGGCTTAAATCCTAACTGTTGTCACAAGCCTCGTGTAGACCTTTACCACCCTGGCTGCAAGGGAGGTAGCTGTGCAGGAACTTGTAATCATCTTGAGCTATTTATCATTCGCATGCAGAGCTCAATCTTTGCATAAAAACTGAAGCAAATCAGCACTGCAGCATACTGTACATGAGTAGATCTGGGAATTAATGCCTTACCAAAAATTATTGGCAAAAAAAGTCTCTAGACACACACAAGATGCTGGGTAGATTCTGCCAGCTGGATATATTAGAACATGATAGAAATATGTATAACAATGAAGGGAACTTAATCTTCATGCTGTGGTCGATTCAAGGCTGTAGTGGGCCCTGGGCAAACAATATATAATAGTGGAGGACCCCCTTCCTCCGCATGCTGTGGTCGATTCAAGGCTCTAGTGGACCCTGGGCAAAAATATATATAATAGTGGAGGACCCCCTTCCTCCTCTCTCCCTCTCCCGTACCTCCCACCAACATAGGTCACACAACATGAACAGTGTAAGATAACATAAATGAGACTGACTGAGTAAGATGATCTTGGTGGCAGTAAATAAGTGAACAATGCTTAGATAAACAAGCAAACAACATAACAATGAAAAAAAGAGTCTAGCTTATGTCCCACCTGCACAGCAATGCCACCCAACATAGGAAGATCAGATGCCCAGCCTCTGGTGGAGTGGAGAGAAGTTGGAGGAGGGCTGTGTCCCTGCCAGAGGGTCCTGCAGCTCTTCCCCGGGTGTGGCGGCACCGGCGCCATAGTGGGCTGTCGGCGGCTGGATGTGATGCACGAAGGGACACTGTCTGCCCGCTGGCCAGGAACACTACCTACATGCACGGCATCACCACCCTGGCCAGCCTTGCCCTTGCAGCCCCACTGGCTCCCAGCCAGCTGCTGCTGCTGCTCCTCTGGCCACTTCATCCCCTTCTTCATGTGTAGCCCCATTGGCTCCCAGCCAGCTGCTGCTGCTGCTGCTCTGGCCACTTCATCCCCTTCTTCATGTGGGCCCAGACGGACCATGGGCCCTGGGCCAATGCCCACTTTGCCCTCTGAATAAAGCACCCCTGCTGCCCATTGATGACTCCCCTGTATGCAGAAGCGATGGGATTTATTTGTTTTTACCGTGTGTTTTTTTACATTTTTTCAAATGTATTTGCACAGCATTGGGGTTTTTTTTGTTTTTGCTAATAGTTTGTTTTGAGGATATCGGGTTATGAAAGGGACACCGGAAATGAGCCGTACAGACAGCCATAGTGTCCAAATGTATTGCCTGACAAGTTAGAAGTCCCCACACACTGCACAAGTACAGTGGACCCTTGACTTACAGACGGCTTGACTTACAGACTTTTTGAGTTACAGACTTCTCTGGCAAGTCCCCCCACACTGCACAGCTAGAAAGATGCACAGAGATAATTGTTGTTTAAAGTTGCCCCTATTGCTTGTTGTTATCCATTCTTTCAATCCTGCCAGTAAGGTTCCCTTCTTCCCTGTGTGCACTAAAGTAATATCCAAAATAGGATGTTGCCCTGGGGGGGGGGGCAGGAAATCTGCGATTTAATCCACTTGGGACAATGGAGACTTGACTTACAGACTTTTTGGCTTGAGAACCGCCTTCCAATACGGATTAAGTTCTCAAGTCAAGACCCCACTGTAGAAAGATGGACAGAGATAATTGTTGTTTAAAGTTGCCCCTATTGCTTGTTGTTACCCATTCTTTCAAGCCTGACAGAAAGGTTCCCTTCTTCCCTGTGTGCAACTAAAGTAGTATCTAAAATAGGATGTTGCCCTGGGGCCAGGAAATCTGCGATTTAATCCACTTGGGAATGCACTTCTCCAACATCCTACTGTCACGTGCATTATAGCAGCCTCCCCCAAAAACTGTCCTTGCCATGTAACAGAATACAACCCACATCACCCCCTACTCAGCCCAGTGGACGTGCTCTTTTGGAGACAATGGGAGTTGTCATTCAGCACATCTGTAGAGGGTTATGCTTTTAGGGCTGGTGCTGTCTGTAACCACTAAGTATTAGGAAAAATGGAAGATGATTCATGCACATTTCCCCCTCACCCTTTTAAACAGATTGGTGATTGCTGAAACAGCACCCCCTGGATCAGTAGTTCTGAATTTGAAAAATTCCTGTCACGATATTGATGCTGAGTCACCAAATAACTTGTTTAATTTCACGGAATTATCCGGAGTTGGAAGCAGTAAATTCTCACAGGACCCGCCTGGCTCTGGAGAAATCAAGGTCAGCAGATTATTATTTTATCTCATAAAATTTGGTGGAAACACTGCAGCCACCACCTTTCTTCGGGCCCAGCTTAGGATGTTGTGCCACTTGTAGCAAGAAAAATGAGAGCAGTGAAGGGCCAGGAAATGATTTTTTGCTGAATTTTAAACTAATATTTTAAAATGTGTTCTGTTGACAATTAAATATCAACAGTGCCATTTTAACTTAATATTACTGTTCCTTGTTACTTAATTATTATCAAACTATTTACACAAATTATTCAATAGATTAGTCATGCAATTCACTAAAGACTTTAACATTAACAAGTCGATTTTCTTGACATGGATGCAATAGAGCTAACACTAAGCTCTGTCTGCTGTGCTTATCTGACAGGACTTTTGTAAAGAGGGGGGTTGGAGTGTTCTAAATAGACTATGAAGGCTGCTTTATAATCTGTTCTTTGGTGATATACAGTAAATTATCTGTACTGGACAGCTTCTAAGGGTTCCAGAGGAATAGACTTGTCAATCTGCAGGTGTTGCAGCAAACTCAAAAAGCAGTCCTGTGGTACTTTTTATCTGGCCAGCAACCTATATGGATGGCCAGTGTTTGTGGCCAGCAACCTATATGGATGCATTTGAAGAATTTGACTGCAATCCACAGAGGTTTGTGCCAAATAAAAACAGTAAATCTTTAAACGGCCACAAAACCCTTTATTAGTTTTGCTTCTGAGGTGCTGGATAGCTCTGTAGCTTAGGCAGAGGTTGGGAATTCAGTTCCCCACTGTGCCTCCTTGATAGGGGCTGGACTCCATGATCCATAGGGTCTCTTCCAGCTCTGCACTTCCATGATGATGATGATGATTAGCACAGTCTCTCCACAATCTAGCCATCTGTTTTGCTATTATCTGTGTGGGAGTTGTATAATTTCCTTGATAGGTTCTCTGTCTACCATTGTGCACAAAACAATCCATTTATTTGTCTTTCATCTGCTCAAGTTTGAAAACCTTGATTGCCCTCTCTTCCATAATTGATAATTTTCAGTCCTCCACCTTACGGACTGTGAGCTTCCCCAGTCTGCTGCCCATCAACTATTTTGGGCTGCCATTCCAACAGCCCCAGCCATTAGGGTCTATGTGTGTTACAACCCAAAACATCTGCAGGATGCTGGGATGGGCAAGACTTCCAATTTCCCGGTGGCCAATAATGCCTAGGGATGATCAAACTTCTAGTCCAAGCATCTGGAAGACAAGGAATGGAGGCTTTCTTATGCAAATAAGTTCCACTAATCCTAGGCTGTTAGTTCTTTGAATTAAATCCACTGGTTTCATTTGGAGCTCACTATCATTAATCCTTGGCAGGTGTTGGAGAAACTGTGAGTGTTCTGTGGGTTTAGATTTTCCAGCCATACATCCAGTCCTGACTACAGAGAACCCATGAAAGCAAGGTCTTGTGGTCTATGAACCACATACTGCCTCTGGGGGTCCAAATCGAACTCCTCGTTACCCCCGTTGCCCAAAAACAGTCTAGGAAAAATGGGAAAGAATTTGGCTCAAAAAGCCCCCTGTGCCTTCCAGATGAGCATGTGGGCAATTATGGCATATTTTAGCATTCCCAGCACCACTATCTGCCTTTGGTTTTTAGAAGCTTTTAAAAAAGATTGTCCACTACAGGTAGCAAGGGAGCTTTTTGAGTTAAAAAAACACTGAGTTTTTTGTTAGACATTTTAGTTCACACAAAAGTGCCTGGCTCTCCAAGGTCGAGGACTGATCCTGTGCAGTCTGCATAGCTCTGGAGGTTGCCAGCCCTACATTAAAACAATAACCAAATGAGAAGTTCACATCTACAGAAATCTCATGGAATCAGTTGGTCTACTCTAGTGGGTCTTTGCAACTGCTTTTACGCCTTGCTCTTTTAGATAGTTTAGGTGCTGATCGTTCTTGCTTGCCTCCCCTCATTTTCTTGTTGTTTTATACTTTATGATCTGTAGTTTTTGATTATGAGCTGCCTGGGGTATACTGCCAAAACAGATGAGAGAACACAGTGTAAATGGATTTATACAAACAAATAAAATGACTGAAAAGAATAGTCCTTTAAGAAGAAACAAAAAATCTTTTAGGCTGTAGTCCTGTGCCCCCTGGGAAGGTATCCTGGCTCCATCTCTGCTCACCGGGATATCTGAAGGGAGAGAAGGAAACCCATCTGCAGAAGCCTCCCCATTAGTGTAGTGGAAGCATTCACTGCCCTTGCTGCTCTGCTATATGCTCCCTAGCAAAAAGAGGGCATGACAGATTGAGAAGAAGTGTTTGTTCCTTCTAAAAGCCTCTCCCAGACAAGGGAGAGAAAGCACTCTCATCCTGAATCCTTCCAGGCACATCCTCACCTCAATTTTGTCAGGGAAAACGTGGCAGAGATTTGTATTTGGGGGGTTGGGGTGTCCTCTTTTTTGGATTATTCCGCTCCCAACACCACAGGATTGTCCTGTTACTATAAAGAAGGCAAACCCAAAGGTTCTCTAAACAGATTTATTTCTTCTATTCCTCCTTCCTTGGGCTTAAAATTAGGAGTAAAATTGAAATAGTCAGAAATAGGCAAGTAATATAAAAACTAAATTAAATGATGTCTTCTCCATCTAGTTGACAGGAACTGTGGATCTTGAAAATGGAACTCTGGAAGAATATACTCTGAATATTGTGGTGCAGGATATTGTCCCACCTTACTATGCTAGCAAGTATTTTATTTATTCTTTATCTGCTTAGTTCGTTTCTCTGTATTTTTCTCCTCTGTAGCAGACCTCTATATTGTAACTCAACACTCTGATGTCCCACAATAGTGAGAAGACAACACTCCCACTGGCTATCCTAAATAGACTAAACATCACTTTTTGATCTTTGTCCTTCATGTAAAGCTTTAAACTCTTCTTCTTTAATAAGCTACTTAATTTAAAATGGTTGGCTTGTATTAGATGCAAGTTTACAGTAATTAAGAGGTTGGCCCCAGCTACTAAATAACATTCTGATTTACTTGAATTGACCACTAAACATAGAAACAGAAGGAATTGTCCTACTAGGCAAAAGATCCATTCATCTCCATTAAAGAGTCAGCTTTTACTGAACTCAGATTCCCTTATAAGAGGACAATTTGCTCCCTGATCTCCTTCCTAGTCAAATAAATTAGAGACCATTATACTGCAGATTCCTTCTGCAGTGATCTTTTTGTATGTTCTGAAACTCAGGATGCTATTCAGTTAAATAACAGAAAACTAGTTAGGATGGAATTACTGTATTAATTTTATTTGGAATTGTCTGTATGTCTATGCTTTTGTTTGTCCACCCACAAACCTTTTTCATATTTGGACATTTAACTTGTGGTGACAGAGAATTTCTCACTAAGCTATTCCCCAAATGACAAACCAATCTACCGACAACTAGGAGTTCCACAAGATTTTATGCCTTGCATCTTCTGGACATCTCTTCGTCCTAGTGCTGGACTGAAGAGTGCTGGTCCCTGTCAGAAGGGCACAGAACTCTCCGGCTGGACTGGTTACGGTTTGTCAAGAAATTCAGTGTGACAGATGGCAGACTAATACAAATTTTGGGGAACTGTTTGGGAGAATGGGTCCACCAACAAGAGAAAGTCCCCACCTACATATGCAACATTCTGGAAAATTTAAGTCTAGTTGAAAGAAGAGTTGTTGATTTGTTTCATCATCACACTTCATCTGATTGCTACATTTGCAGAGAATATCTACATCTATGTCAAAATACAACCAGTCAATGAGTTTGACCCAGTCTTCAGTAGCCCTTCTTATGTATTCAACGTGTCAGAAACAACAGCTAGTAAGTAATGATTACTATTTTAGAAACATGCAAGACTGAAAAAATACGTTCCGAGATAATTGCTGAATGGTACAATGTTGAATGATAATTGCTGAATGGTACTACCCAGTGAGTGCAGTGGATAGAGTGATGACTCAGGAGACCAAGGTTTGAATCCTTCTCTGACCATGGAAACTGCCTGAAAGAGTGCAACTGGTAAAGCCACTCCTTAAATATCTCACTTACCTTGAAAGCTCTATTAGGTTAGCTGTGAGCTGGTTCTAATCTGATGTCATGTAACACACATAGTGCCCTCACTCCCTCATCCTTGCATATAACCTAATGGCATTTATAGCTTTGTAATCAATTCCAGGAGTAATCAAAGCCTTCCAGAGAAGAGGTTCTGTGTACATTGTGGCAAAGGAAGATGCAATGTGGCTGAAGAACCAAAAACATGGGCTCCCATTTTTTCAGCATGCATGACAAGTTGCATGTGTTTGTGGAGCAAATAGGTTGCTCCACTAGTTCAGTTGCTCTTCCTTAATTCTTAAATTGGATTGACTTTTTTTTTTTAAATTGCAGTGCACTCTTGGGTCTATACAAATGTGAGTTCTGTGGTTTTCAGGGAATTATTCCTAGATATGAATCAAATTTAGGATTGCAAATTCATGAAAATAGAGCTATTAAAATAAAAACAATCATGGGGGAAGTAGCTGAGGAAACCAAAGTCACATAAAAGCTCTGCAACAAGCAAGAGGAGACCCTCTATTTTTTAATTTCACACATTTAAGCAACAGTCTTACTCAGCTCCTGTCACAGAACCATGAATGAAGAAGCCTGCTATGAAACTTATTACTTACTCTCTCTCTCTCTCTCTCTCTGCATGAATGAGGAAGCCTGTTATGAAACTTATTACTTACTCTCGCTCTCTCTCTTTCTTCTAGTACAGCTTGGAAAAGAGAAATCTTTGGACTTGAAAAGCTTGGAAAAGAGAAATCTTTGGACTTGAACTCCCAGAATTGCTCTTTCAGCATGGCCATCACTGGGGAATTCTGGGAGTTGTAGTTTTTTTATTTAAAAAATCCCTTTCCAAATGTTGACCTCTATTTTCCCGCAGACATACCGTAACTGCTACAAATGTAAGGACAGAGCAGTTTTTGCCTGCATAATAAATTATTTGTGGAAACACTAAAAATATGAGAGACCATCAAATTCTTTAGTTATAGGAATGGTTTTTTTCAATCTTGAAGCTTTAGAATATAGCATGGACCTGTTGCTATTGCCCATTATTGTGTTGTCACAAAAATATTACATCCTGTACTTACATTATGTGTTTATTTTATTGTTTATACCTGTTATTACTATTCTCACGATTACCACCAAATTATCAATTCCCTCTTTTAGAAGAAAACTCAAGGTGGGTTACAACTGAGGGAATTTAAAAAATGAAATAGCAGCTAAAATTTGGTGTGTCTGTACTTGAGGAGCTTCTTCATTGCTTCTGAGACAGAGTAGTCAACATTTTAATATCTTTAGCTGAAAGCCAAAACCAATCTCCCTTTCCTGTGCCCTGAAGTTCCCCACAAGTATTGCCACTTCTCCCCTCCAAGTTGCTTGCCTTCAAAATTGCTTACAGTAAAGACAAATACAATAACACTGTTGACTTTTTTGCCAGTCACCCTTCATGTCTCTTGCAACCATCCTTTGGTTTCAGTTCTGCTTTTCCTGACTCTCTCCTTATGGAGTGAGCAAGTGACTGTAACACAAAATATTTGCTGGTATTTAATTTATCCTGTTTTGATGTATTCTCAAAGGCTTTCATAGCTGGGATTCAATGGCTGATGTGGGTTTTTTGGATTGTTTGGCCATGTTCTGAGGGTTTTTCTTCCTAATGTTTTGCCAGGCTCTGTGGCCGGCACCTTCAGAGGACAGGCGTCAGAACTCTGTCTTTGCTCTATCCTATTTTGGTTTAGGTTTCGTAGTATAGCATAGTATAGCATAGCATAGCATAGCATAGCATAGTATAGTATCAAAGACCTTTGTCAGCTAATACTGGAATTCTAGCACCTAATACAGAAAATATTACAAATGTCCCTGCCTGAGAAGATAAACGTAACAATAACTAAATTAACTAAACTGCCAGGCTAGCTGTGGGATTTCTGAAAATAAAATGCAGTAAAATAATTTTTGCAAATGTTGGCTAGAATTCTGTTTATGCAGTTATTCTGCATCAGCCATGGCAATTTTTTGGAATAAAAAAGTTCTGATTCCTCCCCCCACCCCCCAAAAAAGGCGTCCTGGGATCTTCCACATCATGCAGAAGCCATTGGGGGTTGTGAGAGAGGAGACGTTTTTAATTTCCAGAAATTGCCACTGGTGAGATGATTTTCCTGCTGGTAGCAATTATTGGAAATCAAAGGCTTTCTTGAATCTTGTAGCTCCCAACACCTTCCTCACAATGAAGGGGGTTCCACAGGAACCTCAAGATTTTGGGGGGGGAAGTTGGGAATTTAAAATGTTTATTTCAAAAATACAGTAACACATGGTTTATAATATAATCTCTCTTATGTGGCATAACTTTACAGAACACAATTCCAACCATTACATAAGAAATACAGTCTGCACTGGAAACTGTGTATGTAAAGAACTCTTGTGGATACTGTGGAAATCTAATACATTTTAGCCTTTTTCAAATACTGGAAAAAATTCCTCGTTCCATGTGTATATGGTTAAAAAAACTGTTTCTTTTCAGGTGGATCCAGCATTGGAAACGTGTATGCTACTGACAAAGATATACCATTCACAGGAATAACGTATTCAATTCTGGCAGGAGGAGGAACCAATGACATCACAGAAATATTTTGGATTGATCCTGCCAAGGGCAGTGTGAACATTGTAGCTAAATTAGACTACGACAAAACAGAAACGCCAATGTATTTCACAGTCCAGGCTTCTGACAATGAACACAAGACTGCTATAGCATCAGTGAGTGAAATGTAGATATATCCACTTGTAAAACAGACACATTTCTTGCCTTTTATCCTGATTAAAATGGTAGGGCTTGGGAGACATTACAAGAATGTGGCATGAAAGCATATGAAGCCTTTTGAAGTAGGGGAATTTGTCTCTCAATTTCCACCCTTTATTTCCACTACTCAGTGCCATTATTTGACATGATCTTTCAGTTCTGAGATCTTGAGTGACAGAAGATTTTTACACAAGGAAAGGAAGCATCTCCTCTGTTCCAGTATATAGTAAAATTGAAAGGACTTGGCTCTACCTTGTACAGATTCTTTGGGGGAAACTAGACTTTAAGCAGAATGCATATTCCATATCAGTTACACATGTTTACACAAATTAAGGCTGTCTTTACCTTCTGATGACCAATCACAAAACAGTTGTTGGAATGCAAACTGCAGAAGAGGAGAGAGACACAGCCTATACTAAACAGAAATGTTTTATAACTTATGCACGCATTGCTTCTAAATATGTTCTAAGCATATCATCCACCCTTAATCAGTGTTCTTAACCTTGACTGCAGAGCTAGCCCATTCCTTCCTAATTGGAGAGCGCCTGCATCTTCTTTGCAGGCTGAGATTCCCAGAATGTGATTTCTTTATTTATTATTTATCTATTTAAAATATTTCTATCCTGCCTTGCTCCCCAAAAGGGACACAAGGTGGCTCACATAATTTAAAAGACAACATTCAAAAGCTAAAAACAGTAAATATACAAATATTTTAAAAGAATTAAACAAGTATTATATTAAAAATGGTAAAGAAAATCAATATTAAAACACGTTCAAAACAAAAGAGCAAAACAGTTTATTTAAAAAAAAACCTCAGACCACCAGTCATTAAGGAGACGCCTACCCAAAGAGAAAGGTCTTTGCCTGTTTGCAGAAGGACAGTAAAGATGGGACTAGCCTAGCGTTCAGTGGGAGAGAGTTCCAGAGTGCAGGAGCCGCAACGAAGAAGGCCCTCTCTTGTGTCACCACCAAGCACACCTATGAGGGTTGCAGAACTGAGAGAAAGGCCTCCCCTAATTATCTTAATGCCTGGGCAGGCTCATAGAGAGAGTGCAGTCTTTTAGATAGCTTGTGGATATTCTGGATAGCAGGTAATCCACAAAAGCAGAGAAAATGTTATAACATGAATTCTCTAGAGTGCAGATTAAATAACTAAAATCAGTCTTCCTATAATTTACAAGTAGCACCATGGGCTCCCTCTTCTCTTTATTATGGGATCCGTAAAATTTTTGCAACTCAAAATATGACCAGAAGAAGCAACGGTTTCTCTTATAACAGTGTTTTTTTTAAAAAAAATATTAACAATAATTTACAAGAGGTAAATCACTTTTTCTAACACAGAAACAAGATTGGCCAAATAGGCCCTTAATTCCAGCTTGCTTCTTGTTCTTAAAAGATTAAAGTAAGAGTGGAACAGCCCAACCTCTTGAGTACAAAAAGTTTTAACAGTCTGCTTTGATTTAACAAAAGGTTGAAAAAAGTCTTTTCCTTTCAGGTAACTGTGAATGTTCTTGCAGCAAATGATGAACCACCGATTTGTTTACCCAATTCATATTTGCTGGAGGTTCCAGTGGACCAAACAGCTGGCACAAACATTGCAGATTTTGCGATTAGGTGTACTGATTTGGATTCCAGCCCCAGATCATTCCTTTATTCTATTAACTCAGGTACTTGTGGGCTTTTGAATTTGACTGTGTTTGCTGGTTGCCACTGGTCTTCAGTAAAGTAAAAAAAAATTACAGCAGAATGCTTCATGTATGTCCTGTTTTATTTATTTATTTATTTATTTATTTGTTTGTTTGTTTGTTTGTTTTTGTGTGTTTGTGTGTTTGTTTGTTTGTTATTATTTGGTTTTTGTTTGTTTGTTTTGTACTGTGACGGTTTAGAAGGCCTAGATGGATGTCTATAACAATTCATCTAGTTTTTGGTGGATTTGTATGGTTGATGTCCTCTCATTTCCACAGTAGCCAATCTGACATCCGTTATATTACCCTGAGGCAATAGTTTGCAAGCTAGAGGGATGTAGAGTTCTCTCAAAAGGTGAGCATTCATTACAGCCAAGCTTTCCTAAAAGACAATCTGGCTGTAGCAGGAGTTTGGAATCTTTGTTCCTCCAGATGTTTTCTAATGCTTACCTCATATTCCCCTTCTACTGACCATGTTCACTGGAACATCTGAAAGATGAAGTCCAATTTGAAGTCCAAAAACAACCAAATAACTGAAGAACTGTAGAGAAGGAATTGAATTACTTAGGGTACTCTGACAACACTTATTGTCATGGCAACTTTTGCATTAGAATTCAATTATCTGGCATGACTTATCAATTATAAGTAACAGCACTGTTTTATTGCACACAAGCACTAAATGTCATGAGGAGAAATTCTTATATTAAAATTTCTGTGCAATAGTCACAATCTGAAATTATTCAGATTCAGATTTGTTAGTTGTACATCAGCTATAACAGAATAAACACTAAACTGAGTAAACTATGTTTTTGAAAAAAATGTATAACACGTTAATAAATAAAATTAGCTGAAACCCAAAATACACAAAATTAAGTCAAAATTCCAGGTATCTAGTTTAATAACACAAAAAAACTTAAATAGAATTAGATTAGTTATGAACATTCTGAATCTTCCTGACAAAGCACAAAGTCCATTACCCATTTCAGAATGCCAGAAAGACAGATACGCTCAAAATATGGTTTCTTCTGGTAACCTCCTCCTGACAAGGCCTGAGGAGAAAGCCTCAGAATTAACTGAGATTCATAGTCAAACTAGATAACTATATACAGTAGATGAATTCCTGTTCCCTCTATAAGATTTGCTGTTCAAGAAAAACAAATGCTATAACAATCAGATGTCTTTCACTACTTGAGGGAGCACCATTATTAAATATGTGCTAAACACATCTTCTGGTCTGACCCAGGTTATGTACATTTTTTTAAATAACAAGGTAGAACAAAATGAGTGTAAGAGAAATTGTTGTACAGTGACTTTGTATTAAAAACAGATATGATTGCTTGGCACAGATACTTTACTAAATATCGTCCTCAAAAAGTTTTAGCAAGCTGCATCCTCAAAAAAAAAAAATAATAATAATAATCCACCACTACAGTTGAAAGAAATTTCTTCCAGAAATGACAGTCAATTTCCTGAACAAGCAACAAGCTGTGAAGGCTTGCTTGAAATCACATTTCATATACTGTACTGTTGTTTGTATTATTACTGTAAATAGTTCGTATTTACATAAAGTTAAAAAATATTTCTGCTCAAAGAGTCCCCTTGTGTCCTGCAAAGGGAGGGGTAGGAGAAATGTTTCCATGTTTTTTCCATGTTTTATGCTCATCTACCTCAAACATTTTTAAAACAGTTGTCCACTGGAGACCATGAGAGAGCTTGTTCATGTCAAAATAAAATAATTGGGGCAGGGGGTTAGGACAGTTTCAATAGTGGGTATACTCTAGCAGTGGGCAAGTACACCCCTCACCTCTCTGGAAGTTGCCCACCCCAACATTGCTCAAAAGAGGATGAAAGGAAGAACTCCAGATGAGATGTCCATGTCATAAAGGCCCCCATATTAATGGATTAAGTCTGAAGAGGTGTTCCTATTATTTCACAGTAGCTAGTCATTGACCATATTAAAGTTTTATCTATCTATCTATCTATCTATCTATCTATCTATCTATCTATCTATCTATCTATCTATCTATCTATCTATCTATCTATCTATCTATCTATCTATCTGTCTGTCTGTCTGTCTGTCTGTCTGTCTGTCTGTCATTTCACGTGACTTTTTATTGTGTGTGCTTTTGGCTTTGCTTTTTAGGGAACATCAACAACCATTTCACCTTTTCACCAAGTGCTGGTTCTAATGTCTCACGGCTGCTACTTGCATCCCCCTTTGACTATGAGGGAGGCCTGGACCAGATTTGGGAGTACAGACTGTTAATATTTGTAACAGATAATAATTTACCAACTACCAACATTCAAACTGGCACCGTAACCCTCACCATCAAAGTCATTCCAAACCCAACCACTGTGGTCCCCACAACAGTAAGTTTGGCAACATAATGAACTTTTAGTACAGCTTGGAGTTTGTGTGGCACTTAACAGTCATGTTTTCTAGCAACAGTACTACAAATCCTCACCATTAAGTAAGTACAACCTTGGAGACTGGCTGCTTCACACACTGGACAGAATTCTACTAGTATTTGCATAAGCTAATTGCTGCAGCTAATTGACAAGATCCCAGGTGCATCTCAGTCTTGCAGTTCTGTGCATGACCACCACATGTTCAAGACATGCCCCAGCACCTTGTCAGTTAGTTGCAGTTAGCCATGAAATGTTATACAAACTTTACGTGAACACTAATAGAATTCTGTTATATATTTCCTCGTTGCCTCCCAGTGTTGTGTAGTAGATTGAGTGGCAGACCAGGACTCTGGAGAACAGGGTTCAAATATCTTGGAAACCACGGAAACTCACTGGGGGTGTTTGGAACTTGCCTTGAAAACCCTATTAGGGTCATTATAAGCTGGTTCCAACTTGATAGCACAAAACACACACACACACTTGCCTCCATGTATATAGGAAATATACAGCAGCCAAAATCTTAGTAGTGTTCACATAAAGTGTGGCATCAGCTCTGTAAATAGGCCAAGGATGGTTTAAATACAGCCCCTTCAATTTTTTTTCTTTTTTTTTGTTTCCCAGATTTCTGGCAAAAAATAAAGAAAGAAAAAGAAATGCAGCTTTTGACGGGTTTCAGGAATGGCAGCAAATCTTTTAAATGGGTCAGACATTCCCTGCATTGTTTAACATCCCCAAATAACCATTTTTTCAAGAGTGGTCGCAAGACTAGATGGACGGGATATAAATCAAATAAATAAATAAAATAAAATAAAACTGGGAATAGATTTTTGGCCCGTTTTTGTTTCATGTTTTTGTATTGGGGGGCATTTTAGGTGGTCTATGCAGTCCTAGGAGGGATTTGGGGATCAGAAAATTGGTTCCAACACCTTCCAGAATTGTCTGCCCCAAAACAAGCCATGCCATATAAAAGCCACCCAGCACACATTTACGTCCTATACAAATGTGTGTGTGTGTGAGTCCCTCACACAGCTGGAGGCAGCTCAAAACATTTCACTACCTGGTGGGAAAATAGCGTCCACCTGCACTCTATATACAAAAGTCAGTCGGACCAGCAGCTGAAGCTTATTTCAGCACTTGGGATGATATTCTCCACTTCATCTAAGGGCCACCAGCTAGTTTAGGGATTCTAGGGCAGGTTTGCATGCTGCCCCTACCGTTGTCCTCCAAGACCTGTCTCTCCAAGATCTGCGAACCAAGGCAGCCGTGGTGTAGAATCCCACCTTAGTTTCCTTGTGTTTTTTTTCTAGTTCACTTTTTAACCCTTTTCATGTTTGCTGTAAGCAAGTCCAACTGTGTTCATTAGTGCATTAATTCATTACTACTATGAGGCACAGGATAGTGGCTTTAATTAATAGCAGTGCTTAGTGGGAGCTGGTGACTGATGTTGTGCAGCAGCAAATCCATTCTGGGTTTTAGTTCAAACTTTAGAGATCCTACACAAGGTACTACACCTGTCTTGAGGCTAGGGTTCAGCACCCTGAATAAGCTTCCATGAAATTCAGAGTGTACATCCTATACACATGGGTGTGTGTCTGTCAAAAACTCAAGAAGGGATTCACCATCCCCATGGAAACCAGACTCACTCTTCTCTGCTGGTACCACCATCACCAGGGCCAGACCATGGGCCAAAAAGGTCCAGATCCTGTGGTCCAGGGAGGCTTCCTCATGGTTGTGAAGTTGTACTGCTCCACACCTGTGTTGGAACGAAAGCCACTGCAACGGGTGACCAGTCAAACCTGCAGCTTTCATGGCTTGCCATTTAAAATTTATTCATGTGGTGGATGAGAGCATGGGAATAGTGAGAAATCCACCCATTCATCACCAGGGCTCCCTTATTATGAACCAGAATTATATCTGAAATAGAGTTACTCATGCATAGTTGACCTTCTGTCATTTCATCAGTTCCTTAATTGCTACACCTGCAGATAATAATGAGCACTATTCTGCAGGAATAATAACCAAGAAACCTCTTTCTTTCTTTCTTAATCAGCCTGGCATTACGCTTGTGACCAGCAGAGAAAATGTGTATTCTGCATTGGCTTGGTACGTGCCCTTCATCATTTCCCTTGGTGGCCTGTTGCTCCTTGGACTTCTTGGGTATCTCCTCTATTTTCTAGCAAAATACGTACGCACCCACTGTCCACCAAAGCCGAAAGCTGACAAAAAGCCTCTGTAAGTAACTGAAAAGAATATGTAAAGAATGCGGAGAAATCATCTGCACTGTCTTATCTAATGTATGTCTTAGAAAAAATCAATGGTTTCTTCAGACCAAATGATCCATTCCTCCTAGAATTCCATATGGTTCATGGAATCTACACTTGTTATATTTCACAGAAATACTGTTTTTTAAAAAAATATCCAGACTGAAAAACAGTGACAGATAGTACTAGTGCTGAATATAATATAGTCAGCCTGTTATTCAAGAAAGCCATGATAAAAACCATGCTGGACTTAAAATTCATATGAAAGGATTTCATTATTTTCCACAGCAGAAATGAATGGCTATGTTGCAGAAGCACATTCATGTCGCAAAATTAACCTACATGATGCTCCATGTTACAGATGCACTATTATAAGTAATATAATTCTTTGGAGAGAAAAATCTTCCTTATAAATCAATAGGCATGTTACTTCTGTAAAGTGCACAGACCAGAACTGCATGTTTACCAATAAGAGCATAAGGGGAGCCCTGCTGGATCAGGCCAAGGGCCCATCTGGTCCAGGTTCCTGTATCTCTCTCTCACACACACATCAATTACAGTGACAGACCATCTCTCCCCCTTATCACAACAAATACAGTGGTGCCTCGCAAGATGAGCGCTCCGTTTCATGACAAAATCCCATTACGATGAAGGTTTTGCGATCGCAAAATGATGTTTCCTATGGGGGAATTTCGCTTTGCGATGATCGGTTCCCTGCTTCGGGAGCCGATTCTCGCAAAACAACGATTTTCCTACAGCTGATCAGTGGTTTCAAAATGGCTGCCAGTTTTTTTTTTTAAAAGGCTCCCCGCTCTTTTCTGGGATGGATTCCTTACTGCACGGGCAGCGAAAATGGCCGCGCTATGGAGGATCTTCGCTGGACGATGAGTTTCAAGCCCATAGGAACACATTAATTGGTTTTAATGCATTTCTATGGGCTTTTTAATTTCGCTTTACGATGTTTTCATTCTACAGCGATTTCTCTGGAATGAATTAACATCGTAATGCGAGGCACCACTGTACTCACAACAAAATACACACTGATCACAATAATCACCCAATCTCCTGAAAAGGACAAATGCTGATTCCGCAGCTATAAATACTCAACTATCCCACAAAACTGCACCAGAGCACAAACAGAGTTCTGACTCCTGTCCTCTGAAGATACCAACCACAGAGGCTGGAGAAGTGTTAGGAAGAAAAACCTTAAGAACACGGCCAAACAGCCCAAAAAACCTACAACAACCATTAGAAATAAATAGTTTGTGCTGAGATTTTCAGGAGCAAGCATACATGCATTAAGCCAGCATACATACATACATACATACATACATCCATACATACATACACACACACACACATACATACATACACACATACACAGAGAGAGACAGAGAACTGCAGTGAAAACTTTTAATTTGCTTGCTGGATACAGATGAACTGAAAGTTAAGAATTTAACTACAGTACAGTATATGCTAGGCAACAGGATTTCAGCCATTACATATTGCTGGTGATTCTCTTCATTGCACAATTCTAGACTTGCTGGTGTATTGTATTGCCAAATAACTGGTTAAATATATTGGTAACATGAATCTTTCTATTTCTTTATGACAGGATCAAAAAAATAGGTATGTATTCCCCTTGGTTTTCATTATTTTTTGAAAACTGCTTCATTGTTGATGTTAGAGAAAATACACAGTATTTAAAGTTGTGAGTATATTTTAAAGATGCAGTCAACCAAGAAAATGTCATTGAGGTCAAAGGTTGAACTAGGGTGATTGCAACAAACCACCCTGGGTAGCATTTAATTTTCACAGAGCTGGACAGAGGAAGTGGAGAACTGATCTAAAATCCAGAAATGTTTTCACTTGACACCTATATGGACTGCAATCAAATATCTGAGAAGCCGGAGGGGGGGAAGAGTATAAAGAAATGCAACTAGGATAGGAAAGATATTTCACCCAGGGAGTGCAGATTCATAATAGTTAGTAGACCTTTCATCATTGGGGGAATATTCTAGCTAGAATCCAATGGTGTACTTACTATTGATTGATCCCTCTGTTTCCACTAGAATCTACAACTAACTCTCTTTCTATGCATAGTAAAAAAGAAAGACAGAAAGAAAGAAAAAACAGCTCCAGATAGCTAGGAAACCCTTTTGAGCAGGTTTCTTGGCATCATGGAGGACCTCAGAAAGAAGATAGGGGAAGAAAGTCTCTGTTTCATTGGCAAAAGTTACTAAAGTACATCATTGAATCTTGACCTCTGAAATATAGTTTGGGGGGAAGGGAGAGTGGTTGAACTGCACGTAAGATGGCAGAACTCGGTCTGAGTTGAAAAAATGCTACGAGATCCAATCATGATTTCATTCATATTCAGGCTGTATATGCTATACAGTATATGTTAATGGCACTTGTTCTACTGCACATATTCGAGTTAAATTCAAGCACTTCTAAGGCCCATTAATTTCAGCTGGAGAGTTGAGGTCTAGTTATAAATCTAGATTAAACCAAAGTGTTACGTGAGGAAAATCAAGATAATGTTGCACTTCTCCCCTATAGAAAAGAAGAAACCTAAGAAAGAAGTTGTATGGGTAAGTAAGCTATTAAACTAAAATATACAAATTAAAAAGAACTGTTGGGAAGACAGAGTGGGTTTTCTGGCAAGCATTTATTCTGGTTATATTGCACTAGCTGCTTGGCACTTCTCCCCTATAGAAAAGAAGAAACCTAAGAAAGAAGTTGTATGGGTAAGTAAGCTATTAAACTAAAATATACAAATTAAAAAGAACTGTTGGGAAGACAGAGTGGGTTTTCTGGCAAGCATTTATTCTGGTTATATTGCACTAGCTGCTTGTCATTTGGGAAGAATCCTTCCTTCCTTCCTTCCTTCCTTCCGTATTACAGACCTGGGCAAAGTGCATCCCGAGGGCCACATACAGCCTGAGAGCCGCTCCTGTCCAGCCCGCAAACAGTTCTGAACATCAAAACCATTTATAGCTTTTCGTCTAAAGTTGATCAGTTGCTTGTCTTTAACATACCGCAAAAAACCTCTTTAGTATTTGTGAAGATTAACAAGTTTAAAATAAAAACAATCATAATATCACTGTTTCATTTTATTTTTAAGTAAAGTTGGTTCGGCCCCTAAACACAGTTCAGATTTTTCTTGTGGCCCACCCCTGACTTATTAAAAAGGTAAAGGTTCCCCTTGACAATTTTTGTCCAGTCGTGTCCGACTCTAGGGGGCGGCGCTCATCCCGCTCTTCAAGCCATAGAGCCAGCGTTTGTCCGAAGACAATCTTTCCAAGTTGCAAAATACAGACCTTCTCCAGATTGATTAATTGCACACAGAAGTGATCAATGTTTGCTGAAATATGCAAAGAAACGGCCCATCCATTCCTCAGGTGTTGTAGTACTCCTTTCAACCACAAATGCCTTTCATAAGTGGTGCATGACACACCACATTTGAAAATGTGTCCCCAACTTGCAGGTATATAAGCAGACTGAGAAACACATGTGAACAATGAATAGATCCTAACAACTTAAAGATAGCCCTGATGGATCAGGCCAAAAGCCGACCTAGACCATCATCCTCTTTTTGTCAGAAGTGAAACTCCCCACCCGGTCATGAGGCCATATATACGTAAATATTTGCCATGTAGTCTTACTCTCATGTCTGAAGAAGTAGACTAGATCCATGAAAGCTCACCTTAAAATACAACAGCTAGTCTTTAAGGTCCCACAGTCTCTTTTTGTCTCTTTTTGTTTTGTTTTGATGTCTGATATCCCCCGTGGAGAACTTTTCTAGCATTCTAGATTATATTTCCCATAGCTATCAAGTCTCCTCTGGGATCTAACAAATGGAGAATATGTAAGCTTTGTTGCAGCAGGCTGATGAAATCCCTCTTCCAGTCTGGTTCTCACTTTCTATATTCACCTGCCTGAGTTGCTGAAAGATATCTCTCCCCCCCGCCCAGATTCCCCTTCCCCTTCCCTGCACTGCTCCTTTCTCTGTATTTTGTACATGCCATGTTTCAAATGTCAAAACTCTGCCCTCAGAAGTGTGCAAAATCCACATGACATTGGTCTCACATGACCTGCATTGGGTCCATCTGGCTTTCAGGATCGATCTTCCTATAAATCTTCTCCTCTCATTCTGCAAGATGAGAGAAATATGAATCAGGTTTAAAACAGGCTATTGAGAGAGTAAACTTATTTCACCTTACACTATCCAAATTTTTGTCCCTTCTCCCCTATACCTCCCTCCCTAAAAGAGGAACAGTTAAACTAGACTCAGGAGATCTGGGTTCAAGTTCTGATTTTACACCGTTCAAGGATCTTTCCCTTAAGTGCCAGATCATGCTTTCCTAATGCACGCTTTAACCAAGTGGAGGATGAGGAAACTGGCTGCCTCATTCATTAGTGACTGTTGAGTTAGCTGGTAGCTGTTTTCCTCTACGATGCAAACTTAATCTGCAACTCCTGAAGGTCTTTTCGGGATAATTGTGAATTAAGAGATGGTGTGATTTGGCTGTCACAGTTGGACATTGCCTTCAAGGCAATCAGGCATCTTCACAGCCCCAATTTTTCTCCTTGAACCAAAACATGTGAAAAAGTGAAAGTGTAACATAAAATCTATTCTGATTGTTTCCATTTCCAGAATAAATGATGTGTTTTATTCCAGATTGGGAAATTTTAAGACTTTCAAAAAATGTGTTGCAATGTACAAATTATTAAAAAATTGGCATATTTGGCAAGATACTCCCAAATCTTTTCATCAGTTCCTAATAGTCCCATGTGTTTATAAGGTTTAGGCAACTGAAGACAGTAATATCATTACAGATAGCTTGTAATTACGGCTGAAAACAAACAGTCACGGATTTGGCGACAGGAAAACGCAGAGTTATTGAAGACACAAGTTCTTCTTTTTGCAAGACGGTTATATTTACAGTATTTCACAGGTATTTACAGGCAGGCATCACATCAGCATGGCAGGAACTCTTTACCACAAACGGACATAGTGGATAGCAGGAAATGGTGAAGAAAGAAGAGAATGATACACAAACACTGTTCACTTATACAGTATACATATACATGGCATCTCTAGTCCAATCAGAAGACACATGACTTCATCTTCTGCACCTGGTGTCTTCTTGTTTCCAGACATTGCATCATCTTCAGAGTGACTCAGCATACTCACATCTGTGCACAATGGCAGTTCGTTAATAATACATTTATTCAGGTTCAGGCCTACAAAATTTCTATATTCTGACAGACACTAGTATTAGAAAGATGATTCAGGAAGACTTTTGTGTTTGCCAAATGAGATGTCACAGGAATCCCATGTGCTGGAGACCAATCATAAAACAAAGCTATCTAAGTTGGAAACTATAGGAGGTTGGGAGGCGGAGAGCTTGACTGCAGTGAAGCCAGCAGCACGGTGTACACTCAGATGCTTTCAGCAGTTAAGGAATTTCCCCTTCTAGTGACGTCTTACTGTAATATTTGTTTCTGGCCTAATGACAGGCATATTTAAACCTCCTGTTTTTGCAGCCCATGAAGTAGTAGCAACTTTATTTCCAATTCTAAATAAACTTTCATTACCAGAATTTTACATACAGATTCCCAAAATCTGTTGCATTCCATAAAGATCAAACCCTACTTCTTTAACTAATGGCATTAAGTAATGTTTTCTTTCTCTTCTTAGGAGATGACCAATATAAACACTGTGTTTGATGGGGAAGCAAGAGATCCAGGTATTACTACTATACTGGAGGGGCAATGAGAAGGAAATAGTTTCAAATTCTACAGCTCAGATTTGATTTTAATTGGGAATGCATAATGACTTTATGTGGCCTGTTTGGTCAGGAACCCCAAACGTTCCAGGCCATTTCTTCACAAAGTCTTGATATTTAAATTGTAATTTGGAATTTAAATTAATATGGGAGAGAAAGTGAAACAGACAGGGTCACTCATCCTGGCAGAGGGATTTAATAGCTTAGTGCTTGAAAGGCTGGCTTTGAGTCATGTTGTTACATGCCATAAAATTGCCTCCAGCTTACGGTGACCCCATGAATGAGTACTCTCCAAAATGTGCTCTCCTCAACAGCCCTACTCAGCTATTGTAAATTCAGCTATTGTAAACTGTGGCTTCCTTTAGGGAGTCAGACAATTTTATATTTAGTCTTCCTCTTTTCCTGCTGCCTTCAGCCTTTTCCAGCACTATTGTCTTTTCCAGAGAATCTTGCCTTCTCATGATGTGCACAAAGTATGACTAACCCAGTTTGATCATTTTTTGCCTCCATAGATAGTTCATGTTAGAGGGGCTGAATTAGCGTTCCTTTTCTTCTTCTTAAGTTCTTCATTTTAACACCTACATGACAGGTATTGGTTGGGATGTTCAAAACAGGTTCAAGTCCCCAATGAATTTTATGGGTCTCTGGGTGACTTTGGGTCTGCCACTCCCAATCTGTTCTACCTCTCAGGGCTGTTGTGAGAATGAATTGGTAAGAAAGATAGCCATGTATGCTCTCTGGTGCCCATTGAAGGAAAGGTGTGACATAAATCTAACAAACAAACAAAAACCATAAGACCCTATCTACACAGGGAAATCCTGTATATATTTAATTTGGCCAGTGATTTTTGTGGTTAAGAATTTTGTTCAGTTTCTTTTTCACAAGAAATTACAAAAACTCATGTATCTTTTTAATAAATTTGTCAGAAAAAGAACTTAAGATTACAAAGAGAGGGGGGGCAAATGCAAGAGAAACGACTGATAGATTCATTAACTCCTAATTATAGTGAGTCATTTACATCACAGCTCCCCAAAGGAAAAATCCAGGAGATTTTTGGACAGCTTATCGGAAAGCCAAACAATCATATTAGCAACCACACTAAGATAATAAAACATTAATTAATTAATTAATTAATTAATTAATTAAACATTTCATTACTCTGGATTACTTACAGCAAAATAAAATTTAACCTGGCAACAATAGGGTTATAAATAAAATGAAGAGGCTATAAAGCAAACTACAAGAGACTTAATATCAGTTATTAGATAAGGCAGAATGTGAAGCAAATAATATATATAAATTAAGGCGGGGATGTCATAGAAAGCTTCTCTAAACAACCACAGGCTATTTGCTTTGATCCAGCAAGTGGTTTGCTCACTTGTTAGAGACTTCACATGGTAGAGGAACTGGCTGTCCCACATACAGAATGAAGGACTGGATATTAGAGCTCACCAGCTAAAACAGTGAGTTTCAAGAGACCCCTCCTGATTGTCTTGGTTGACAATGGATACTGCTCCAGAGACACATGCAGGTTGAAATGCAGCAGAGCCCTTGTGATGCAAAATGTGCATCTATCCAAGGCTGGCTCAAAATATCTGACTGCCTGAGGCAAAAGACAAAATGGCATTTATCTCACCCATTCATCCCAGTCTGGTTCTATGTTCAGGCACTGAGTGACCCGGCCATTGAATTTTCCTGCCTGGAATCAAGCAGGGACGAATGAGAGGGAGTAGTGCAGTCCTCCCTTTTTTCACCAGGCCCAAAAAGTTTTGGGATACCTATGGACACACTAGATAGATGCACAATATACATCTTGGTGACTGCTGCATTTCAACCTGCAGGCGTCTGCTACAGCTGAACACTACAGAATGGAATGCATGGCGTTTGCTGCTCTATGCATTCTGTGCCCCTCAGCACCTGCCGATTGAGGTGGCTGCCTCACTCTGCCCAATGACAGGACCAGGCCTCCTGAAATGACCACATGAGACAGATAGGGATGTTCTTTCCTCCTTCCTTCTGGATGCCAATGGGAATGTGTACCCTCAGATATTTGCAGGTGCTGCAGTGAACAGTTTTCTTACATGGAAAGCTTGTTACATTTCCAGTCTTGGTGCATGTGATCCATCTTTAGGTCTGGGGATACTGCACAGATAAGCACCCTTGTTCTTGCTAGACCTGAGCAGGAGAGATGAGAATTGTAGAAGCAGCTGAGCTATTCTGTGGCCGTACTGTATTCTGAGGCTGAAGGATTATTTATCTCTCTGACAGGTCAGGAAATCGGTGTAATCAACAGGTCTTAAAACATTTTTGTAGCTAGCTGGAAAGTGCTTATGATGATTTCCAAGATTCAGACTAAAGAAAGTAAAAATTACATTATCCCTTCAGTTGTCAAAAGGAATAGCTAAATTATTGATTTTTTCCACAGTCACCGGCAAATGGTATGAATATAATTCCAAGTCTGGGGCTCGAAGGTGGAAAGATAAAAATATGCCTTCCAACTTGGAAGCAAAGGCACCAGTTGCACAGGTAGCCGCACTGGAGAAAACATCAGACAGCAGTCAAGGAAATCTAAACAGAACAGAAGGCAAGACCAGTGGTGGAAAACTGGGAGACCCAAACCAGAAGATACCGAAGCCCTTAGAAAAGAAGACTGATCAAAATAGCAATCAGCAGAAACCAAAAGAAGGGTCTTTGGGTCTTTGAGTAAGTGATCTTCTCCCAAAGTATATCCTGAATACCAAAATCAATCTTAAGAAGAAAACCAGTGCATCCATGAGTTAGAAAAGGCTGCTACTTGGGATTGTGAGATTATAAAGATACAGGATGCTGTTGGAAAAAAAACAGGCTTTAGTATATAACAGTTCTAATTAAGACAGCATATTTCAAGCACAAGCCACCTCTAAGGCTTCTAAAATGCAACAGATTCATGAGCAACTTTCTGAACAGCTCAGGACTCAGAACCCTTGAGGATTAGGTCCCAAATGGCAGCAGGAATGTTGAACATTAATTTCTTGTGGGAAAACAAGCAATACACTTTTGAAAATGATTACCCTGTATCTTTAATGCATGGGACCGTTTTAGGTACGTTACAATGCCAAACTGTGACCAGAGCAACGCTGAAGTGATTTTAGAAGATGGTACCTGATACATTAAGAATAAAAGATACTTCTAAATATAGTTTTATCTGTATTTTCTTCAAACATGTGAATTATATTGTTGGTTCAAAGATAATGATGAGGCATATGTATATAAAAGTTTGCTTTATAGCATTTACACAGCTCTACTACCGATTAATTTTATCATTTATTCATTTAGATTTTTTTGTGAATTGCAAAATCCATTTTTCAGTATCTCACTGAAAAATGGGTGAGCTGCAACAGTGCACAAGTCAAAACACTGTAATACAAGTACACTAGGAATCTTAGTAGACAGGTATCCTGATCTTCAAACCCGCCCCCCCCGACTGCACAGTTATGATTGTAGTTCAAACGTATTCTGAATTTCTTGTGTCTCTTCTGACAAGTATTTGGTAGAATTATTTTAGCCATAACCATATACATATCTCTGATATTAAGTCCCAGGGAACTGAATCTAAGTTGATGTGCGTATGTTTGATTGATGAAAAGGGAAAAAAGTGCAAGCGCTCACATTTATATGTGCGTGAATATACTCCCATGTGTAGTTGAGGACAACACTTCTCATCCTTTCAGATCAGGGCAGAACAAGAAGGTGGGTGGGGTGCTCCCTGCTTCCTTCTGTCTCCCTCTGATAACACACATTGCCTAACAATAGGCAAGAAACCTAGCTTTACCTTCTGATGAACACACACTTTGGGAACCAGAAAGTCCAAGTGCCCTGACCCTTGCCTTTGTTCACCATTAAAAGGCGTCCCTTAACGGAAAAGCTGATTCTGCTAAGAGCCTGTGTTTTCTGGCCCATGTTTTTTTTTTAATGGGGCAGGCACAGGTGACAAAGAGACAGTGGCAGAATGGGACAGAACACTCACAGATACCTCCCTATCCCAGGAAAAGGGTGCTAGGTTTACATGGCTTTGTAGAACCAGATTTATTTTTCACCCTTTTTGCGGGACTATTTGTGCAGTGAACAGTCAACCACCTAATGACCGTGAGAGATTTGGAATTTCCCCCTGTTGAAGGACTTGCTAGTTACGGCAGGCTTACAAAGAGTGTGGCCTGAAACATCTGTGGTTGCTGGTCCTGTTGGACCTACTGAAGTTGTTGTACACCCCACCCGGTTGAAAGAGATTAAACCTGTGGTTAATGTTAACTCGTCTCCTGTGGTGACTCTCATTAAAGAGGAAGAACTGCTTAATTCAGCACAAGAACCCAATCACAATTCTCCACTTATCAGATAATCACATAGTAACGGAGACAACAGTGATGCATAGACAGCCCTGACATGTTGAGTTTACTGTGACTTGTCATTATAGTGTCAAAGGGTCAGCGCCTGACATGATGCAAGTTTGCCATTCAGAGCGATGGTCTCCATTAGTTCAGACTAGTAAACAATACACATCCCATTTCTGCATGGATGACTTTCTGATGAGGCAAAAGGAGCTGTTGCCACTGAAACACATATTGTTACTTTAATCTTCCCATCATGACAACATTGAAATACTCATAGCAACACCGGAATCAATAGAAAGGAACGGTACGTCTTAAGTCACCCACACAAAACAACGGTTAAAAATTGAATAAATTGTCTGCTTTGTTTTAAAACAGGCTTCCCGTTTCTTGAGGGAAAATATTAAGTTACCTTTATGTAAAGCAAGCAGGGAAAACACAATAAAGTACAAATGATAAAATCAATGAAATGATCAATTAGTAAAGGCGAATGGGTAACAATAAGGGCCAAAATCCCCTATTATGCAAATAGTGTAACATTTGGAGGCAAATTACCCTTAGTTAAGAAATCACTGTAGACATTATCAGTTGCACACTTAGTCATACAACTCAGTATGCAACTTATAATGTCTATAGTGATTTATTAATTTAAGAGAATTTGCCTCCAAAAGTTACAGCATTGTTGCTACACCAGTGTAACTAGGTAAGAGGAGTTGGGCCACTGATAACAAATGTTAAGTGGCACATTCAGGAGCACAGAAAAGGAAAGCAGCTGCATCTCATCATTATATCAAAGGTGGCCCTTGGAAACACATCACAAAGTTGAACATGGAAATCATAAGGCATAAGAGACAAATCAGTTTCCTGTCATACTCCATCAGTAAACCCTAGCTCCTCAATGAGTAGAAGTGGAATTACTGGAAAAGGGCGACAACCATGTGCCAGTCCAAAATGAAGCCAGGGTTAATTTCTTAAATGACACAGTAAGTATCACCTTCAGAGGGAGAGCATTTGCAGTTTAGAAATACATAGTAGAAATGGCATTTTTAATATGGTGTCCTCCATCTATGGGAAGGTGGGCATTGCAGCAAATATTTGTATTTAAAATTATATGTATTTGTATTACTTGATCAAAGGAGGCAATATTGTGTTACGTTGCAGTAGGGTCTTGTGTCCTCTTGTACAAGACACAGTAGTAAGATTCCCCCCCCCTTCAACTTCCTTTCACCCAGTAGTACTGATTAGCTACAAATCAGTCTCAAGTATACTGTTCTGGGCTACGGTGATTGAGAAAGTAGAGGTGTTGCAACTCCTGATGTATCTTGATGATGCCAATTCATGTTGGCATTCATGTTGGTTTTTTTTGGGGGGGGCAGCTTATGTAACTGAGATGGCTTTGGACACCTTGGTGTATGATAGATAATTGAAGCTGTCAGCTTCCCATAGCCTCTTACTCGCTTTTAGTAGTATTGACTATATTGTCTTTCAGGAGTACACGGTGGAATAAAGGCACTGGGGGCAGTGTCAGATACAGCACAGGTTGTGTTTTGCATCATTCTGATACTACAGCATTTGACCAAGAGTACCTACCCCACAGTGTCCTTCCATAGGGTTCTGTAAGATTGTTTTGTTCCTGCTATGAATAATTCATCCAGATATGTGTGTCTGTTTAAGTTGGGGAGAGAGCTGGGAGAGGCCTATAGCATGCCTGAGCTTGTTAAAAGAAATATAGCTCCCCACCAGCCGTTCTCGACTTGGTGCTCTTCAGGTGTGTCAGACTGCCACCCGACCAGTTGCTGCAGTTGGTGGGGATTTATAGGCATTTTAGTCCTGCATACCCAGAGAGCACTAAATCAGAAAGGCTACCATACTCTTTTGCCTTCACATTCAAGCTCCATACAACTGGGTATCATTAATAATTTTCACAGACTGTAAATAATTTTCATCATCTGTTATAAATAAAAGTAATCTCTAACCAGCTCATTTCCACGCTTTGTTTTAAGATCTTTTTAACTTAAAAATCTTAAGAGAGACAGAGGTCACAGTCACACCAGCGAAATGCCCCCACAGGACGTCGTGTGGTATTTAATTTAGGACTTGCATCCCAATGTGTTTTTGGTTACCAAGTAATTTCCTTCCAATTCAATAAGCGCCTCAACCTTTTTGTTGACATCATCTGACAGAAGCTAACAGATAGATTGACACAAATGCCATGGAAAAGATTTTTTAAAAAATTAAAAACAGTTTAAAAGGACATGCACAGCGACAGTAGTTCAAAAAAGTTGTGACAAAACCATACAGACATGCAGCAACACAACATTTTTTAAAAAAGATTCACAATAACAAAAAGTAGATGCCTCTGGCTGAACGAGAAATGATCCACAATTAACATGCTTGCCTGGTAAATGATTTGCTAATGGTTGTACATCATGTGACCGCAAATTTATGACACAAACTCAATGGGGGTTAGGAAGGCCACATTTGGCTCATGTGCTCATGGCCTGAATTCATAAGGAACTTCTATCAAGGTGATGGCCTTCTAACACAAATTGAAGGACAGCACCTTAATCACTCCTCAAGGAAACACATATGAGAACTGCTTACAGGAAAATGTGGCTGTTTTACTATTATTCAAAATCCACTCTTCCTGTTTATTTAATGAATTACTGTATATCCAATTGTGTTGAAACTTAAAGGCTTTCTGTTTAAAAAGCCATCTCGTCTTTTCATATATCTGTACATAAAATTATCTTTTAAGTTACTAGTAGTCTCTCCCTCAGGCAACTATAAATTTCATGGTTCCATGTGGTGTGGAACTGACAAGCCTATTTGCGTGGCACCAATCAGCTCCCCTGTGACAAGTACATTAAGAAAAACCACTCAACATGTCTCTGTAACCATGGAATTCATCTTTATCATGAGCACATACAGATCTGCATCCTCACAACATGGATCAGGCATATTATCTACTCAATTCCAAATCCTCTGCACATCAGTGGAGCAGTCACAGTGATCACATACACTAGCATATAGCAACCTTACGTACTACCCAGACGTTAATCTGATCCACATCATGAATCTCCCTGTCTAGTTTCATGAATCTAGAAAAGGTATAGTGCTGTCATTTTTGGACTGTAGAACGTGACTCCTTTGCAAATGTTAGGACAAGCAGAGTCTGCAAGAATAGGATTGATTTGGTCCTGGAGAGCAATTTATATTTTGATTGCATAAGTAGCTGAGTTTAACCACTAGGTGACACTGAACATGGCTGTGATTACAGGAAGTCATGCTGTGTCCAAAGGAGAATAGTCTGATATCAAACAAACGAATGTGCACTGTGACATGGCTGAAACCCAATAGCCCCTTTTTGCAATTGTATAGCCACATGTTCACCAGCTGTGTATTCATAATAACTTGTAAAGCAACAGAGGGCTCCTTTCACATAATCTAATATCTAGAATACACACAAGGTCCCTAGATGGACAGACAAGTGCACTCTGAGCATACACTTTTATAGACTCTTTCAAAATATCTCACAGAGAGATGTCCAGCATACCTGAAATTGCTCTCTTTGATAAGTTTTATTCCATCCTTCCTCTAAAAGAGCCAAACAATAACCTACATGGCGGTCCAATGTCCATTTTATCCTTGTATCACATCTGCGATGTAGGTTAGACTGAGATAATGACATGTCACTTTATGAACTCCTGTGTGGCTGAGTTGGATTTGAAGCGTGGTTTAAAACCAGCACTCTGTCCATAACATCACACTATCACAGGACAAATTTCAATCTGCTCAGAGGAATCCATTTCTCCAAAAATTTATTGTGAGGGCAGAACTGGTGATAAAACTTGTAGTGTATTGCATTTCCACCCCTACGCCCAATAATTAGCACTTCTTGACACAGGTTTTGTTGAGATTTTGATATGAAAATGTATTAAATATTAATGTTGTATAGTTAAATGTAAAATGGCTGATTTTACCTGAGTCACTGTACTGATTGTATTCAGGTGTGGGTATTAAGGATTAATACTTAATGTTGTACAACTGTGTACATGATGAAACTTTGTGTTAACAGAAAATTAAGTAATGTATTTTCTGATTGGTCACAGGACTGTACATAAGTCATGTGTAAAATGAATCTCTTTATCTGATGTAAGTAAGATCACTTTTTCCTGTGCTATGTGTTGCTTCATGTCATGTTATTCTGCCAGAGGAATGTCTGTTCTCTATGTACTGTATGTATGTAAATAGACTAAGTTGTTGGTTTTACTCTCTGTGTCATAATGTCATAAGTATCTCTGCTAACCAATATCTCCTTACTCTGCTGGTTATGAGAGTACACGTTATAATCAAAATTCTCCACAAGTTTGTGCTAAAAATACAAAGGATTGATTGAAAAGTCTGATCCTTCTGTTTCAAAAATGTTTAATGCCACCACAGTGACTCCTAGTGGTATCACAAAGTCTCACTCTCAAATTTATCTTTCTGAATTATTTCATTTTTGAAATGACCAGGGCAGTAGATGCAGGAGCATATTCCAGCCAAACAAGGAGTCTTGTGCCACCTTAAAGACTATCAGGTTTTATTGAGTGTACGTTTGTGGCCTGCAGTCACTTAAAACTTAGGACAAATAAAACGTGTTCATCTTTAATGTATCACAACAATATTTTCGGACTCCAACTTGGGACCATACTTTTAGCGGACCAGCTATTGGCCCAATAATCTTATCACACCATGGAACTCACTGTACAGCCAACACAGCTTCCACTGCATTTTGTTGTTTTTAATTTGTGGGTCTCTACCTGCACCATATCCTGCTCATTGGTGCTGTGTAGATAAAACTCATGAAGGTGTCAATGTGGACATAAAAGGTAGGGGGCATGCAATTGATAATTACACAGTCTGAGGACATCCTGACAATTTTTAATGGGGCTTCAGAACACTTAGCCTACTTTGTGTTATATTTATCTCCAAAAACCGAACAAATAAAACTGTAGTGAGGAACAATCGATAATTCTTGACTATAAAGGACAATTGGAAAACAAAATACATAGTATATGAGGCTGCGACTATTACCTTCCTAAACCATACTGTTCCAATCTCTAAATAACTGCAGAGTTTACTTTTGCTGAAGTGGGAGCCTCTACTTTTGGGGGAGACCAAAAAGTGCAGAGTTCCTTTTTCCTAGGAATGTATTACCAATAGAGGAATTCAAGTTCCTCCCATTATGCCAAGATACACTATGAATCTATTACTTATGTGCAATATATCTGCCTGACATCTAAAAGACGCACCAATACTTACTGCCCTACTTTGGGGGTGCAGAACTGCACACAGGCAGGAGAATCCCAAAGGGATTACTGTAACTACTGCCTGTTTTAGGGTTTGGATTTGACATGCCGTTCCTTCTCACTTACTCCATCCCTTCTTCACCCCCTTTCCAGCTCTTCTGCCAGCACATCACAGCCAGCAGAGCAGTTCTGCTAGCAGTCAGATATCCGAGATTTAGCAGTATTACAGGATGATGATAAAGAGGCTTCTGTCTAATCCCAAGTAGTGACAGTGGACCCATCCCTGAGTTACAATTACAACACCTATCTTCACTTTCCCATTTCCTTTTCACTTTTCATTTAGTCTTTTCTTTACAGACCTTTCTTCTGTCCACTGGAGTAGCATTCAAAAGAGGTTGAACCTAAGTGCCAGAATTTCAGTAAACAAGAAAATACTTGTCATCTGCATAGACAGTAAGGACTATTTTCATTCAATGACAGTACCCTATAAATCGCCAAGGACTTTTAAAAATAATTTGAATGAAGTTTGACACATGGTGAACCACTGTAGATGAACAACTCACCACATGCTGAGCTGCCTGAACACTTATAGGAAAACAGCCATCTAAGTAGGCATATTCTTGTGCAAGGCCCTATGCATTTTTATACAAAAGCAACTGTTTTTATTGTATTTTCATAACTGTATACTATTTCATGAACACCTAGAGAATATATGGTTTGCCATTCAACATATGAGCTGATATAGTTAAACTATAAATTTATTACAAACTTGAGAGTTAGCTCTCAGCTTCAACTAAAGGCTCAGAAATGATTAGCGGGCTACAATGGCAAGTTTGAAGGTTCACAAAAGTAAACTTAACCAAGCAGCCAGCAGGATGCAGCTTGAGAATGCCGTCTACATACTGCTCATCGTTGTTTAGTCGTGTCCGACTCTTCGTGACCCCATGGACCAGAGCATACCAGGCTCTCCTGTCTTCCACTGCCTCCCAGAGTTGTGTCAAATTCATGTTGGTTGCTTCAATGACACTGTCTATCTCATCCTCTGTTGTCCCCTTCTCCTCTTGCCCTCACACTTTCCTAACATCAAGGTCTTTTCCAAGGAGTCTTCTTTTCTCATGAGATGGCCAAAGTATTGGAGCCTCAGCTTCAGGAGCTGTCCTTCCAGTGAGCACTCAGGGTTGATTTCCTTTAGAATTGATAGGTTTGTTCTCCTTGCAGTCCAAGGGACTCTCAAGAGCCTCCTCTATCCCCTTCACAGATTGCTGCCTTGTTGTGGCGAAGGGGCTTGAGTAACTCAGAGAAGCTATGGGCTATGCCGTGCAGAGACACCCAAGACGGACAGGTCATAGTGGAGAGTTCCAACTAAATGCAATCCACCTGGAGTAGGAATTGGCAATGCCATTCCAGTATCTTTGCCAAGAATGCCCCATGATAAGAAACAAAAGGCTATATACTGCTAGAAACATGATTTACCCAGTCATGTTGGTGCGGATTCAGTTCAACATTTATCATGAAGTCATGTTCAATCTGTTGAAAATCTACCACAGTAACTCTTGTGCAAGCCTTACTGAGAGAAAACGAAGACTTCAGTCCAGCTGGAATAAAATATATTTCTGAAGAAATGGTTATAATTGGCTCAAGCAGGTATCGACAGTCATCACAGCTTGTGTTTGGGGAGTTAAGAACATGCAGCCCAATGGGCTGAAACCATAAGTATGTCTGTGCAGAATAGGGCAGGCAGAAGCAGTCCTCATCTTCTTCTATAGCAGCTCCTGAAGAAAACTTCATATAAGATCAGAGTATGCTGCTGAAGGGACCTGTAGTGCAGAGTCTGAGGTGGACAGAAATGTTAAGATGTGGAATAGACAGGAAGACTTTCTTGACATGAACCTACAGCAAACTGATTATTAGATGAATTCCTTATTACATAATTGATGGGACTAAGTTTTCTGCTGTAAGGTGGAAGAGACAACCCTAATGCATTTTAGTGTAAAAGCTAAAGTGGATCAGGTAAAACACTATGATATATTCAACACAGCAAGCAAGATTCTTAGAAATGTCCGTTTATTAAGTCACCTGAAGCCAAAGTACAGACAATTCCTCAAAACTGTACACATTTTTAAACATTTAGACTAAGTATTCATTGCAAGGATCTTCCCAGTTTTTTGCCCTGTAACTATCTGTGTAACTGATACACTCAGAAATAGGATTTAATTTTAACAAAAGTATATAGCTTTTGAGTTTCAAACATTGTTATTTAAGCTCCTTTGGCTAGAAACAGGCATTAACCACTTCAACTACGCAGAGGATCACCTCAGTCTTTCTGTGTCCAAGATTTTCTCTCCTCTATAGCAACAATTAAACAATTATACTGAAATCAGAAATGCAAACATGTCAATGTTTGCAAAATATTTTAAGGAAAGTTTTTAAACTGTACAATTCAAACCTATTTAACCAAATAATAGCCATTCTTTTGCATCAGGAATGTGCAACAATGGTATTTCTAACTCCTCAGATTACATGTTAAAGAAAAGTGCAACCTGAGCTCGGAAAAGTAGCAGCTACCATGACAATATTTAGTACAAATCAAAGGTAGATATTTACTATTAATACAAAAGATTTCTTCCTGAAGATTCTAATATCTAGCTTTTAACAGGCCTGTTGTAGGATTGACTGAATTAGAATATGCACAATGGAGAACTTTTTTCTATCCTGAGCATGTATTCTCAAGTTTTATATCCATAAAAAATGGCTACTACTGAATACTTTGAACTGCTGGTCTTTCAAACTTGCCAACAAACAGCAGCAACTGTTCGATATTAAACTGCAACTGTTCAGATTCCCGATGCAGGTGGATAGAGCCCAGATTTAGGGGAATTACTGCTTGGTGTATGCAGATTTGTCTCCTTGTATACAAACCAAGCATTTCCTCCCCACAGAGCCATATTTAGCAAGCCAAAAACCTGCAAGTGAAGAACAGAAGTGGGTATAAATTAGTTGTTGACTTACATCTGAAGAGAACCAATTGTTTCTATGGACTATGTGTATGTTAGCCACACATGCACACAAACCAGTAACATGAACATTCAGAACAAAAGATCTGTGGCACTTTATAGATGAACACATTTCTTACAGTTGAAGTTTTCACACATTCACTCCTAATCAATGTCAGTAATGTATCCTTTTTACTCTGCTGCAAGTTTCAAGGTCTATTTTATTTATTTATTGGATTTCTATCCCGCCCATCTAGACCAAAGGTCTACTCCACCAAATCAAAGGCAGGCTGACTTCTGAACAAATACAGAGAAAGGTGGATTAGACATGCAATGAACCCCCAAAACGAAGGGTGTGAGTTACCAGTTACACTGTTACCAGGAAGGTCAGGAATTGAGGTTCTCCATCTCATGGAAGATGGTGATCCATATGCACTTTGTATGTAAACTTGCCTTTTAATGATAGACTTCTAGAGCCAAAGCCCAGGTCACAGACACTGGGATCCAGTTTCACCCCCAGTATCGGGCCTTTTCAATATTTTTAACTACTGTTCTCTCCGACCATAAGCTACCAATTCCTGGATTTCAGGCCAAACTTTACTTTGAAGGTCAGAGATACAACTCAAAGGCTACATTTTTAATTTTAGATGCACTCCAGGAAAGGTGGGAAGATTCAACAAAAAGCTGGCTGAGATTCATCAGAAAAATATACTAACAAATTCTCCACAAACCCACATCGGTCCTCGAAAAATACCATTTGGTACCTCATAATATTTGACAAATATGATGCCGAATTTCCAGAGGCTAACTGAGCTCAAGCCCAGGAATTCCTTACCCTGGAATGATCTTTTCCTTTCCTTTTTTTTCTCATTTCATATTGCTTTTGTCCAACAGAGTAGGGTCTCAGGGAATCATTTTAAAATCAGACCACTACAGGAGGTTCTGTTTACCATTATCCTAAGTCACGTTGAGAAAGGTTTCAACGGCAACTTCCGAAGGTGGTTGACCAACCTTGATTTGTTGTGGTTACGAAGGAAATCCATAACACCAAATGACTAAACTTGAGCAGTCAAATGCTGACAACATACCACAGACACATTCAGACGTCCCATGCTGGTAACAGAACCAAATACACATGAAGATCCTGGTATCTTGCAAGCAAGTATTTCTTCCACAATACGTGGACCAGTTGATATTTTGATGTCAACAACGGCCTTTGCCCAGGTAGCACTGCTGACCAGCCACAAGAAAGCAGCACTAAGAGTGATGACATAATCCTGCAGAGGGAATCAAATTGCTGAGAATAACACAAGGCTTTCAAAAGTAAACAGCTGCCATTTACTATACTTTGACATACACAGATGCTAACATGAAGACTGATTAAATATCTGCCTGACTTACTGTTGAGCTGGGAATATTTTTGAGAATAATACTTGCAAAACACTTATCTTCACAGAATGTTTGGCGGTGAGGAGCCAATTTAGTCTATTAGACTAAAATATAAAAAAATAGACTGCTTGCAAAATTCACAACTCTAGTTTACTTCCACAATGCAATACTGAAGATGCACTAGAGAACAATTACTTTTAGAAAACCTTTGAGGCAGTTTCTTTATTCATTACAGAATAGAGCCCAAGAATTCCTTGGATTTCAAAAACTTAAAATACAAATTTATCATCTGTGATCTCAATTCAGGCACAGGGAAATCTACTGCTCTAAATGAAACATAATCCTAATTGGAAGTTTGAATTTCCAATAGCCTAGTAAGTACAATGCAGGAGCTGCACTCCCTAAATACAATGATCAATTTTCTACATTTATATCCTGTCCTTCCTCCAAAGGTATATGTATTATTTAAATCACTCTTAGTTTGATCTATTGCAGATGTGTAGCTAAAAAAAGTTCAAGATGACATAATCATGTAAAATTAGTAGAATTCCTATATATTTTTAATCAAGCCCTTAACTCTTCATTTAAAAAGTACACTAAGCAGCCAACACCTAAGTAACTGTTGACTTAACTTGGAAGGCTGGGCAAAAGGACACTTTTCTCTCCTCCTAGATCTAACATTGATTTATGTAACTTACTATGAGCGGTAGAACGCCACCACTCCGATATATGTGCATATAACCAAGGTACAGTACAAGGGTAGCCATACAGTACAAGAATATCAAGACTGCAAAAGCTACAAAAAACTGTGCAGAGGAAGAGAAGTTGCCCACAAGGTGAAAATCAGTCCAACTGCCATTGCATCGGGTCGGATCTGGTGAACTAAATATTACTTCATTCAGCCTAAAAGAGAAATAATCAAGAATTACCAGAACTAGCTTGTCATATAGCTACAAACATAATTAAGAAAAAGATCTAACTTCAACAGTCTGGCTAGTGTAGGTTTTTGAACTTCAATGACTAGCCAATCAAATCCCATTCTACTGGTACAGCATATGAGGAAGCTATGAATTTTAGTATTGTCAGTGAGTAAACCACTGAGTAAACACATGCATGCCAACTATATAAAAATACTTAGAAAGAAACTTTGTTAAGCATGGTTACCAACTGCTTTTTAAAGAAAAAGTAGCCCTGAAAGCCCTCAGCCCACTGCGGGAACACAGTGCCTTGCCGATGCTTAGATGAAGGCAACAGGCGGGAACACAATGCCTTGCCAATGCTTAGATGAAGGCAACATGTATTATTCTTATACAAATAAACACACCTATGCTTATTCTGCATTTGAAAACAGGTTTGTTTATTTTGTCTAAGAATACAAAACTACTGCTTGTCTGTGTATCTATGTATTTTGAGTTCTATAATTCTCAATACATTCACTCCTGTAATGAAACAAACCTCTATTAAGTTCTCAGAAAAATACTGAGCCTCTATTTAGCTGTCTCAAAATGTTGGACCAAAACAGTGCTAATGGGATACTCATTAGCTAAAATTGAGTATGACTAGTAAGAACAATGTATAGAAATGTATTACAGGCTCACCTGAAAGGATAGGCAAAAGCAGCTGTTACTGTTTTATTCACAAGTTCTTTACAGGAAACTAGAACTGTAGTTTCACCTTTATAGCCTCCACATGTAGCAAATACAAACATAGAAAAGAACTATACAAAAAGATACTAATTAGTAAGTGCAATTTTGTCTGCTTGGAAAAGTTAACAGCATGTAAGTATCACCATACCAGCCTTCATTAACTCCTCCTTTAATATCTGACATTTACCCTTAAACTTCTTATAGACACATACACACTTTGTATTTTTAGCAGGTACACACACATATATACTAGAAATTTGGTTTCATTCTTTATTAAACTTCATAGTTCAGATAAGGGTATACAGCACTGATTTTCTTCTAATATCTTAGCAACTATGGGATATATCTATCAAAAGATAAACTGTAAAAAAGTCTCAGTCATCAACTTATAATAGCCACTGAATACTCAAAATGCGAAAGAACAAGAAGGATTTTTAAAAGGACTGAGCTACTGCTATTACCAATTGAAAACAGAAGAGTTTTAGCAAGTGAATGCTCTCCCAGTCTGTGTTTACTAAACTTCTACTTGCCATACAATTAATGAAGTCTCAAGAAATTTGATAATGTCTTGAAATTTGATAATTGCACTGAAATTTCTTCCTTCTGTATTATAGAACAAATCTTTTCAATTAAATGTTCACTGTTTGGATGGGTAAGCCCAACTCAGCTGCTATGAAATCACACAGCAGTAGCACAAACTAAATGAGTTTGCATATTCACTAAAAATACATAGCCAGCAATCATTAGTGCTAAACAGCCATACAAAGGACCCTTGCTCCAGGATTATAAGGACACACCCAGAACTTCCAAGTTTTGATAGCAATGTTCCTCTCTGTATATTTGAACAAAAAAAGAAAAACGTAGTTTGGAAATTACACATAAACGTGTGCGTCAGAAGAGAGAAATTGACTGTGCTCCTGAAACATTATTATTTTGAATTGAGCCTACTGTGACTGGAAGTTACCTTGAACTGACAGACACTCTAAGAAGCTAAGAAACAACATGATTAACGTTTTGATCGGGCACAACACCAAGCAGTATGAGATTTAGGGCACGCTGGGCCAAGGAGAAAACGCTTACGCCAGCAGAAAGGAGCGGCAGTAAAGCCCGCCCAGCTCGACGCGCGGCCGGCCCTCAGCCCTCGCCTTTTCGGGCCTCGTCGAGGCAGTCCAAGCCAGCCCGTTCACACCCCGCTCTTTTGCCACAGGCTTGCCCGCCTTCCGTTGTAAAACTGCAAAGGGAGAGAGGCACCCCCTCACTCTCACACACAACTTACCCATTCAAGAACCTTGATGAAACCCAGGGTCTCCTTGAGGGGATTAAGGTCAAGGTGAAACTCACTCATTTTCTGCGAGAGAAAAAGGGAAGGGGAAAGAGAAACACACCACAGACACCAAAAAATATTAGGAAGGAGAAAAGGGCCAGGAATCAAATAGCAGCTGCATCAGAGAGGCTACACGGAGGGTGGGTGGGTGAGAGAGCAAGTAACCCCCGCCCCGGCTGCTCCCCCACCGGGACCGACCACCAACCTCCCTTCTCCCCAGGCTCGCTGGTGAAAGCAGAGGCCTCCTCCAGGGCCGCTTTCCCCCCTATAGAGTCCGCCTGTTAAGCTCCGCCCCCGTCATTCGGGCAATGGCATCACTTTGATTCCCCAACGGCCGCCTGGCCTGAGGAGGCCTCGGGGACTCCTAGGGGCTGTTAGGCCTCCACCTCTCCAGGACTCTAGGGCACCCTTGGGTGAAGTTCGCTGAAGGTCTCCCATGATGCTCAAATTAGTTATCACCTCGGTGTTCATCTCTGTGCCCTGGGATGCTGAAGATTTCCCTTCCTTTGGTTGTATGTTTGCAGTTGCTGGCCTGCGCAAGGTTAATAACTGCACCTCCCATCATCTTTCACTGTTCTTCGCACAGGCCAGAGCTGAGGGGAGGTGCAGTCCAACAACGTCTGAATACTAACTGGAAAAGTAACTGGATTATAGGTCCCAGAATCCCCCAACTACCATCCCTAGGAGTGGCTGGAAGCAGTAGTCCCATAATCATCAACATTAAAAAAAACAACAACTGTGGTCCCTGTAGTCATTGGAGCTTTGGGAACAATATCAAGAAATTTCACACAGTACTATAAAGCAGTTACAGATCTCAGAAATCACACTATCAGAGCTACAAAAAACCAGCAATATTAGGAACAGCATACATACTGCACCAATATTTAACAGATACTTGGGTTTTTGGTTAAAACTTGTGTCTCTAATATAATACCAGTCAGTGTTTCTATAATTTTGATTGACTGCGCATGGTGTTTTTCAATAATAATACTGTAATAAGTTTCCAAAGTGGTTTTGAAGCTCCTTAAATATCCACCCCTGTTTTAACTGGTGTCCAGATGATGACCATAGCCATCTTCCCTTCCTGTATTGTGATGTGAGAGGTCACTGCATTCTTGCAGATGGACTGATCAGTGGTGTTCAGAAGGGTGTGATGCACTTTGCTACATGGCTCGCTTTAAGCAAACCAACAATAATAGTGTTTAAATGAAGAGATAAATGTCAAATGTTTAGTCCTAATTGACAAAACAAAGAGACACTAGAGATCATATTCCAAATATAAGTTGCTTACTGTAGAATACAAAGGATTTTAAAAGAAAATCCAGTTTGTGCTTTGCACATTACAATAAACCTTTGGATCTTTAGATAAAAGTAAAGGTTCCTCTTGACAATTTGTCTAAACCTTTGGATCTTTAGGTAAAGGTAAAGGTTCCTCTTGACAATTTGTCCAGTCGTGTCCGACTCTAGGGGGTGGTGCTCATCTTTGTTTCCAACCCATAGAGCTAGCGTTTGCCCAAAGACAATCTTCCGTGGTCACGTGGCCAGCGTGACTAGACACGGAACACCGTTACCTTCCCATCATGGTGGTACCTATTTATCAACTTGCATTTTGCATGCTTTCGAACCACTAGATTGGCAGTAGCTGGGACAAGCGACGGGGGCTCACTCCGTCGCGTGGATTCGATCTTAGGACTGCAGGTCTTCTGATCTTGCAGCACAGAAGCTTCTGCAGTTTAACCCACAGCGCCACCAGATTTTTAAAAATTGTGATAAAAGAAACAGATGTTCCAGAACATCTAACTGCCCTGATTCACAATCTTTGCTCTAGACAAGAGGCTACGTTTGGGAGAGAACATTACTGTACAGTGGGGTCTCTACTTAAGAACTTAATCCGTACTGGAAGGTGGTTCTCAAGTTGAAAAGTTCTTATGTTGAATCTGCATTTCCCATAGGAATGCATTGAAAACCATTTAAACCGGCACAATCTTTGCTCTAGACAAGAGGCTACTTTTAGGACAGAACATTATTACTGTATTCCTATTGCCGTCCCATCAAGTCAATTCTGAGTTATGGTAACCCTTTCCAGAGTTTTCTAGGTAGAGATACTCAGAAGTCATTTACTATTCCCTTCTTCTGGGGGCAGCTTGCCCAAGGCCCCATAAACTGTCTCTTCTAGAATGCATAGTGGGGAACTGAACTTCCCAACCTTTGGCTCAGCCTCCAGATATCTAACTCACTGAGCTATCTAGCCAGCTTTGTCTACATTAGATGCAATAATATGCCTTGATGTCACACAATGCATCGGCTGTAAATATGATCAAATCTGGATCCTGCCTGTGTTTAACATTATTGGTGTGAGAAATGACAATCTTTGCTAAATTTTGAAAGTGATTAATAGGCACTTTTACACATGAATATCCATGTGCAAATGAACAACAGTCATCGTCCTTTCTTGAAATGATGCTAGGAATTCCTTCTCTGTTTCATTATTTTTTTGTAAAACTGTGTGGTTTACCTCCCTTCATGGCTAGGATTAGTTATGGGAGGGAATGAATAGTGACAAGAAATCATTGCACAATTAGATTGAAAGAAAACAGGAGTGCTTCCCTTGATGGAGAGAGATTATGCAGCTGGATCAGTGGTTCCCAAATGTTTCAGCATCACAGCTGTTACTTGATTTTTGAGAAACTCTTCCAGCTTCCCACCACCACCTTTACAATTATCTAACTCTTTCATTTAATAAAATCAAGTTCAAAACTTAAAATTAAAAGTAAATACAAAAACCTATCAGAATTGTTTTAAATTTATTTCCATGGTTTGAAACTTGAAAAATGGTTTAAGCTATTAAAAATACTCCCCCCCATCATAACAATGTCACAGTTTCACAATCTGCCCTTGGCATTTCTTAGTGGTATTTTAACAGCATGCTCCTAGCTTGGCAACCAATGAATTATCTACAATGCAAGAGAAAATGATTGTTTTCTTTTCTGTAAAAAGTAAGAAGTAGAGCAACAACACAACCGTGTGGGACATAGCTTTGAATCTCTGCTTATCTAAAACACGGTGATTGTTTTGTTGGAGTGAGAGGGTCCCAGTGCTCACAAAGAGTAAAATGTGCCCTTCTTGATAATCTTCCTAGACTGGCCATCTTTCCGTTTAGAACATCTGCTGAAACAAGCATATCAGCAGATATGTCTTTTTAAATGCTTGTAGTGGCGGGTGTAAAAAAAGACTGCACCTCTTGAAATTTCCAGTGCAACAACTCAAAGTAAAGATCCATTAATAACAAAATGCTGGCTATCAGTCCAAGCCAATTCTATTGGTCCCGCAAGTGGCATTACCAGCTTTCAGAGACAGACCTATAAAATGAGGCATTTGCAGCAGCTGCTGTAAATGCAAAAGAAAAAAAACTTACACAATCATCTAGCTTTTCCTGCTAATTAAACCTGTTCTCATTGGACACAGCATATATCTGACCACCTGATGCTGGGATTAATAATCCAGAGTGGATGGTTACTCTGGAATTTCTATTTATCAGTTTAGAAGAGCAGACAGTAAAACACATCCAGCAATGAAATTATTTTCCCCCTCTAATCAAATAAAGCCTGTACAGAACAAAAAGAGTGGCTAAGGCACCTTGTAGGACTGCAGCCTACAAGTGAATGACTAGTTCAGAGTCTTCTTGTTTGCTTTCACAGGACTTCATTTGGAACTTGTTGCCTAACCTCTTTATTTGGGATTATATTCACCCATAGGGTGGACCTCTGTAATTGATAGTTCGAATGGAACGAACTTCTAAAAACAAATATTTTGTCTATGTAATGCATTAGCATTCCCAAAGTGTATATTGCAGACTTTTAATGCTATTTCTTCTGAAATTACCTAAATGCAAGTCGCTTGATCTTTTTCTCTTCACCGTTGTATACGCTGTACTAGCTGAAGGTCTGCATGGTGGTACTTGAGTGCTGTCTTGGCAGTCCTGTGATCTTCTCTGTATTTAGCCCATCTGGTGTACCATCTCATATTCTGGCACATGAGGACATCAATTTGCTGGTCTGGATTTAACCAGTGCTGAGGAGGAGAAGGAAGCCCTCCTTGGGAGCCACACATATACCATTTCGAGTTTCGCGATGGGAGAAATGTACGATATCAGTGGAAAGCAATGAATAAAGGAGGCTCCTGATATTGAGTAATTTAGTGAAGACAGAAGTGTACAAAGTTGCCTTCGATAACTTATTCCTCTAAATGCTCTTAATATTCATTTTTAATTTGTTTTCTTGTATTTTTCCCCTTTTGTATTAATTTTGGGTCTAGATTGGTGAACCACCATATTGGTTATATAGGGTACGCGGGGTTCTGAGTTTTAATTTTTAAACTGACTAGAGTAATGTTTCCACTAAAAGGATAGCAGATAAATCAAGTAAATAAACCATATCTTGGTCCATGTGCATGTTATAATAGTCTGGTCCTGGATCTCTCAGGTCATCTGATATTGGAGAGTCTGCTGCATATACTGTATTAGAAGCCATAGTCTCCATTGACTCTCCAGGCTATGAATACATAACCTAGTGTTCTCTGGGTCTTGTGGGCGGCACTTCTCATAAACCCAGCCTGTTGGTGATGACTGGAGTTTATAGAAGGCTTACAGTAGGTCCTAGAGGGAGTGGAAATTTGCATTGGTTCTTACAGTAATTGCAAACTCATTGACAGCTTTGTTGTAAATTAAACCTAACCTATTTTTGCTGATCTGCCCCACTCATTAATATATTCTGGATTTCAGTTCCCATTATTTCCAAACAGCAGGAAGGCACTGGTTTGAGAGAAGACTGCTATAGGTTTTTAAGTATAAATTTGAAGCACTGCATTTAATGCAAGACCATCATAGTAAACCAGTCATTTCATCTTTCACGGTAGAATTAGAAGGCATGACAGTTAACTCATCTCTCTGTTGCAGTAAAACCTTGTGCATTTGCTTGAAAACATTGTATTTTAGCTCTAACAGATTAGACTATAAGGATGTCCATGTAATTAATGTAAATCCATTCTTCTTTATTTTTCTTTGCAATTATTCAGTACAATAGAACGTGATAATTGGCCACACTCTCAGCTACTCTGACTTGGTTTGGACCATTTTTTTCCCAAACCTTACTCTTGATATAGCCCTAAGCAGAATGGGAAGCGAAGTTGAAAAATATTAGAAATAATTTATGGAGAAGGGTATGTGTGCCCTCTAGTGGGAAAATCACGAAAAAGGATCAACACATCGGAATAAATTTTTTTTCATGGGTTGTGTATA